TTTTTCCAAAAAAAAAATCCCACAAATATTAAACACAGGAGCAAACATGTTATCAACACTGGTGGTAGGCATACATCTATTTCCTTGGATACTGGATGCTACTAAAGCCAGTCTCGCACTTTGCGATTTTTACTTACGACAAGCTGCGCTACGACATGCTCAATCTCAAACGGACAGGGAAGTAACTCATGCTGATACAATCAAGTGTAATAAATTTGTGAAACAACATGCAAATCACTTATGATGGTGGTGGTTTATGAGTTGGATGTGAATGTTTATCTGAGAATTCACAAATACTATACGCATACATCATATGTACATTTGTGAGTTAGATTCTCATCATTACAAGATTGCTGATGTGTCAATGACGTAATCGCATTACACCACTGGCAAAACTCTTGTTGCAATGAGAAAAGCAGCTAGAGTATGACGGCAAGAAATTACATTCAACCTTTGACCCGTGCTGGGAACATAAGGATCATTAGATGATGCAATAAGTTATGCTTTCATGATTCCATGAATGAAAACTTGTTAGTGAGACTTTGTGGACTTAAGCATGTTTACACATGAGTGGAGCTGTAGCTGGGTGGATATAAGATAGTTGCCTTATAATCTCAGGGTCACGGTATGGTAGATTTTGCATCTATACTTTGGTTCGAACTTGGCAAGCATCAGATTCTTAATTGGAGTTTGATCGCTGATCTCTTGGAATAACTCTCACATACGAGTTAGATTTGGGACAATGTATCCGTTACTGTTCTGGCTGCAAGCAGATCCCAAGAGGCCCAACCAAAATTTCCAATTTCAATTTGGAATTCCGTAACTAAGAAAAATTTTATTTAATATTTTTGGCTTGGTTTTTACTGTAAAATCCACTTAAATTCCTCGATTTTTTTCTTGCATCTGAAAGTAATTCCACTTCCTAGTAATTCCACTTCCTAAGCCTCACATGAGACATTGTTCAGAGAGCATGGAATAATCTGTGTACACATTGCGTCGATAATTTTAGCCGAAGAATCAATCTACGTTCTTTAGGAGCGCTTGGCAACGCAATGCTGTCAGCCTTATCGAAGGCAGGCTGAGCCCTAAAAAAAAAAAAAAATCCATTGCACGCCACTCATCAGGCCAAAAAAAAAAAATGTAGTGTTGCCCTCCGCGACTAATCCAATTTTTTTTTCTTTGAAATTTTGTTTCAGGGATGTCACCAGCTTTTTGAAGTGCCGGTCGGCGATCATTCCGCGTTTTCCCGGGGGTGGGGTGCCACCCCCCCATTTTCCCAGGGGTGGGGGTCGCCGTATTCGTGAAAGCTCTTAAAAACCAAAAGGCCTAAGTAAGTTGAGCAGGCCTAGGCCCAAGGCTAGCTGACGCGATTTTTTTTTGGCTAGGCCCAGGTAGGCCTAGGCCACGCCAGAATTTGAGGAATGCAACAAAACAGATGAAGATGAGACTTACTGTAGGCCTAATTAAATTCAATAGTTGACATGCTTTGTTTTAGATTAAAAAATAATAATGAACAAATCCCGGCGACAAAGCGTCGATCCGACTGTACCCAGCCGCATTGTTTGCCGTAATTTCACATGTTTGACGATTACCACGATGAATGTGTATGTCACTGATTCATGTGCACTCATTTATTTATTTTTTTTGTCCATTTACACACATTATATATCAATTATAATTAAAAGTGAAAAACTTAAAATACAAAATGAAAAGAAAGTAAAGAAATAAAACATAAATCAGGTTTCGTAAATTTTTAATAATCTTCCTGCCCCGGACCATGATCTCATAATAAAACACTTGAATGGTGACGATTTCAACTTTAAACTTTGAATGTGTACCAGAGCAACCGTGTCATGCCGGCCCACGATGTTCGCTATGACTCAACTGGGCCTAGGCCTACTGTTAAGTTAGCGATGAATAGCAGGGCAGTGCAGTATTTTGTTACAATTAACGTAACCACGGAAACATTTATTGTATTCTTATTGTCTTTATCTATCAATTTAGCTTGTCTATTGTGTTTAGGTAAATAATAGTGGTGGTCGGGAGCCTGTAAATCCTGGTCGGAAATGTTGAGTGCTGGACGGGCCCGTCCACCGCCGACCAGCGTGGTGACATCCCTGCTTGCAAGTACAAATTCCAGAAAATACCACTGCCAAAATTAACATTTAGAATATAAAATCTAAAATGGACATGTATTTTTATCAAAATCAGGCCACAGATGCACATGTAATCGGTAAAATATAAGGCATAAATTTGAGAACCGAGTGCGACAACGATATATGCACACAACATCGGATCTCTCGCACTGAGTTGTCAAGCCACAACCAGATCCAGGCCTAGCCTACAATATTCTTTACTAATGTACAGCTAGTGGTTGCTTGAATCAAAAATAATATTCATTACGGTATATTGGACAATAAATAAAAACAGGCTTAGGTCCAGCCATCGCTTTAAAGTCGGTACATAGCTAGACTTAGGCTCTGTTACGGTTTTAGGCCAACCATAAACAAACTATTTTTCTCTTTTTTATTCGATTGTATTACATAGAGGGCGCTTGTTTGTAGACATTTTTCATAGCCTTAGTATGGTTTTGCTTGACCTGCTGGTGCGTGATCGTGTAGATCTGATACACATATTATTTTACATTTGGAAGCCAAATAAAACTTTTTTTAAACTGATATATTTTTGTTAAATTTATTTCAACATACACTTGGTTGGTATTTAATCCATCATTACTTTGATTATTTTTTGTTTGGCAAGCTTGCCATCATTCTATTGTGGTGCCTACAAGCTTTGAGACCTTAGGCCTAGGGTCTTCATAGGGACTGCAGCTTGAGGTCTATCCTATTTCAGATATTACTAAAGAAAAAAAAAAAAAATCCGACCGACCGGATGACGATCTTGATTTTTTTAATTTATGCATTCACCAACAAACGTCAGCACACATCAGTACACTGTGTGGCTGGCTTTAGATTTTTTAGAAAATGTGTTGTCCTAATCTATGGTGGGCTGAGTTTTCCACCCAGTCTAAAGCTGGTCCTCCACCCACCATTTTAACCCACTTTCCCATCCTCAAAAATCCACTCTTATTATTTAGAGTTTACCAATGTTATCACCCACCCACCCTATACACATCTAGATGTGTATAAGAGACAGCGGTGGTGCACCAGGTCTAGTTACTATAGGAACACAGCCCCGGCTTGAGATAAGCCACCTAGTTCAGACTGGCAGGTGGATAAACCCGGTGAGTTGAGCTGGGTTTATCCACCTAGTCTGAACAAGGCCTTAATATTTTTAGAGGAAGAAAGAGGAATAAAATTAAATTTAGGCCAAAAAAACCATTGGTCTACAGCATCAAATTATCATTGTTCCTACAATGCAGTGTCAGTAGATTCCACCCAGAGATAAATCAGTAGCCTAACTACTAAGCACTGCAAAAAGTAGCAACAACAGCTTGAGAAAACCGATAGACATTAGCCAGGCCGGGATGCAGCCAACCCTTAATACCATTCAAAAACGCAATTCAAACTTAGTTAATATTTATGTCCGTGATTGCTTTTGTAAAATGTCTGTTATTGTGATTGACAACCAATGGAATAAAAATTCTGTTATTTATTTCAAGCCAGGATGGTCGGATGATTAATATATGAGGTTGCATGCTATTTCACGGCAAATCATCGCATGGATAGTTCAGGATGATTACACTTTGAATAGGCATAACATGTTTAAAGCCCTGTTGAGACTCTCAAATTGTACTTTACAAAAATGTGACATGCCTATTAAAATATGGTCATGATGTCATCACATTATGACCATATATGGGCACATCATGACTATATATGGGCATACAAAAGGTTTTCGTCAAAGAAGATTTGATAATGTGGAAAGGGCTTTACATAAACTTAAGCGACTATAAACATGGCTGATAATTAAGACTAAATTTGGATTTTGATTTGTGGTTTCAAAAGTGTATGTTACTTCTATGTTATTCAATACCCCAAATATACCGAGAGTTATCTGGGTCAGTGGATGTAGTTGTAGTTACCAATGTTATAAACATCAAACTACAATGTAATCAATAAGGTATGAGTTAAACCAAAGGTAATAGAATTGCAAGAGGTTTGACTGCCCTGATTTTGTATGCACATAATGATATGTTAAGAAAGTACAACCACAAGTTAGGGGGCATCCTAGTACGCGATAGTACTTTTTTGAGATAGGATTTGCGTTCCAACGAAAACCCTTGAGAGTCAAACCTCTTACAGTTCTACACTCTTTGGTTAAACTATTTATATAGCACACAGTTAAGAAATAACTGTAAAGGCATTATTTTCCTGGTCATTGGAATTGAGTGCAGAATCAATAACGTAACAGGAAGTGAATGATTCAAAATGAAAATGGGTAGCGATGAATTACACATAAATATTAGTAGTCCTCAGAGAGCGGAGGAGGTTGCAGGTTGTGTATGACTGATCCTGAATCCAATGAATGACCAGGAGGAAAAGCACCTTTATCTATTTCCATCAATGCTCGCAACTTCCTAAACAGCTTCTACAAAAACTAAAATTCCAAAATAGCTGCAGTTACAATTAACACTTGACCAACACACAAGTGCTTCTACAATAAAGGCAAAAGACTAAAAATGGTATTGGTCGATTTTCACATATTTCTAGGCTATACAATCAACTCAAAATGAGGAACTCTCTCTCTCTCAACTCTTTAAAAGATCAAGGAGCAACCAAGCCCAGTTGGTTATTTTTATAGTCGATTGAGATAAACATTTAGGTTAATGGTTTTTCATCCATCAATGCTTACATTCATGTTAAACTTCTCTAAGTATTATCATCAGATATACAAGTATCTCAATGTTAGCACTTAAGTTAACAATATCTGAAAATTTTAAGTGGTAGATCAACACCTGTTTATATTTTTACACCTGTTTATATTTCACCTGTAGAATGCTGCCCAGGTAAATGAGAAGCAGGATGGAGCATACTTACTTCACTGATCAGTTTGCAGTTCAAACAGGGTCCAATGGCTCCAAACAACTGCAGTATAAGATCTTCAGTCACCTCTCTAGCCAGGTTGCCGATGTACCTAAAAAATAATAATCCATGTAAAAATAACTATTATATATTAAAACAGAAAGACAGTTAAACTTGCCTAGCTTGAAACTTGCCTAATTCAAATAATTTCTAAAGCCGCAATCGCACTGGATTTAAAATAGGGAAATTTTTACCGAGACTGTGGGTAACATTCCAATGGGTAAACTTCCTGTCGTTCGCACTGGGATTTATCGACGTGGTTAGTTTTAACACAGGCCATGGTGAAACTAACCATTCGTATAGATTCAACTATTGGGGGCGCTAAATCGTGACATTCACTTCCGGTATGTGTGGCAAAACAATTAACGAAAGCACATTTATTAATGCTCCATATAAATAGGCCATTGAAACAAACCGAGTAAACAAGTGAAAAAAATGACAAAATTACTCAAAATCAAGACACTAGCAAACACGCGCGAAATTAATCAAGATGTTTGTGTGTGACGTTTTATTCCAGGTCACAGCTCATGCGTAATTGCCTGACAGCCTGAGGAAGGTCATTCACTGTGATGACTTGGGAAGTTTACCCGACTCGCGCTGTTTGCACTGGACTTTCCTGCTAGGTAAAACTAACCTGGTCAGTTTTCCTGGGCAAGCGGGACTCGGTTAAATTAACCGCGCGGCTTGGGTAAGTTTCCTGTCAGGTAAACTTCCTGTGCTGTTCGCACTGGACTAATTATGGTAAAACTAGCCAACGTGTTGGTTAGTTTTACCAAAAAAAGTCCAGTGCGAATGTGGATTAAGTCGATCTTATTTTACACATAAAATTGTTGTGTTTTCCATGAATGAATTATCTGTATGTTGAATTTGATTTAAGTCAAACAATTTTTCAATGCCATTTTGCATCCGATCTGATCTGTTAATTTTTTTTAATTCTACAGAATATAAGCCCAGGCATCTGGATTGAAAGCCAAGAACTTGCAAGATGCAGTAAAAATGCCATTAACAAGGTTAAAGCTTACTTGATCTAAAACACTGTTCTTTCGAATTTCTGTGATTGAACTAGGTGAAACTACTGATGTGAAAGTATAGTTTTGCTTTCTTATGTGCTGTTGATATTCAGTCAACAAAATGATAACCTTAAATGTACAATCATTGTTTTCTACGCAGAACTTCCATGCGAGTGAATTTTGCAGCACGCCACACTTCTCAACATGCACAAAAAATCAAGTAGGATATATCCTGTATGTATCCAGCCTTCATGGATAATTGTTAAATACCTATGTTTTTCTACACACATAAGACCATGCTGTCCCGTAGACAAAATGCAATGGCCCGTCTCAATCCATGTAAATTATTTCTGTGCAAGAAAATACTTCTAAAGACTCGCACTGACACAAAATCAAGTAGTCTACATCATGTATAGGTCAACCCTTTCAGAATTTATTGACCAATTATCATGAATTGTACACGGTTTGTAGGTACAATCACAAATTCGGGTTGATTGAGTGACTTATTCACACTTTAAGAAAAAAAAAATATTTGAACATGAGCTAAAACTAGAGGTCTATCTTGAACATTTATTGATGGCGAAGTGTAAGATTTCTTAGATGAATTTGACATCACTAATATAACATGCCAGAGTTAAGTACAAATTCGACATGACCTTGATATTATGGATCCTACATTTATATGCTGTCGTTTCATGCTGTTTGTTCTAATAGTCGTTGCCCTTGCCTCAAAATGTTTGTAACAGACATGAGAATATAATAAATATTAAATTACATGCAAGTAAATTTATATGCAGATGTTTGTCAAAGAAATCAATTTGCATGATTATATTTTTGTTTTAACTATACTATTAATCACATAGTATTTTATCATGAATATATAAATTTGTATCAGATTCTATAAGCGAAAGCTATTATTTTTGTGTATAAAATAATGTATTAGGAATATTTAATACCAACAAATTCTCAAAAGCCAAAATGAGAGACTACTTAGTTTCTATAGACTGTTATATGTCTAGTGTTGCAACTGGTGACTGGAACAAAGGTTGGGGAAGAGGTAATTTATATGCCACTAAGCAGTGTTTTTAATTGGAATCTACCTTAGCAACCAAGTCAATGCAGGCAGACAATGCTAATTTCTTTATTACATTATCAATTATTGCAAATTGTTTTTCTTAATTTATTTTTATGTTTTATTTGTTTGTTTTGTGATTATTTTAATAATAATGACAGAATTATAAATAAAAACTGGTCTAAAACCATCATAAAATAGGATAAAAAAAATCCTCATAATTCAATAATGAATAGTTCATTTATTATTTAAAAGTATTAAAATCATTTTCAGCTTCCACAATATTATATTCTCCAATAATGATAATGTACATGTCAAGCTACTAATAATATATGAATAATTACATTTTATGAATAATTAAACAGTTATCCTCCAATGAAAAGGCAAGTATTATTTACTTCAGTGCATTGTGGATTAAATGTATTCTTTCTATTCATAACAAACCTTCCTAATCATTCTTATTTTTATATTTTATTCGGTGGCTTTTCACTTGGTAGGTTTACACAAAACGTAGCCTAGTGGTATTCTTTAAGAAAAAATGCTAAAATTGTCCTAGGGTACAAAAACCTAGTAGTATTCTTCAAGAAAAAATGCTATAACTGTAATAGTTAGCGTACACAAAACAAGTAATAAAGAATTTGTGATATAATGATATGCCTAGTGCTGTGGACATTTGTGTATGTGATTTCCCTATTCTAAATATTTTACACATATATTGCCGTAAGTTGATGAAACAGTGGACTTCCAATTAAATCTACGCACTTCCTGGAAATTTATGTACGGTACATGTTATGAAAACGATTGAATTATTAACTATGCACACTTAAAAATGTAGTGCTTCTACAAAATAATCTTTCTAGCATGACATGATATACAAAATAGATATATTATTTATGTTGGAGATAATATATACAATTGATTTTTAAAAAACAAAGGCTCGTGGTTTACTTAATTATTGACAGTAGATAATAATGAAGACATTGTTCAGTTAGTTAGATCAATGAAATACCTAATTTTGTGTTTATAGTGGTTCCCAATCCCCTTCTGTTTACTTTTTCAGTCTTGGTGTATACTTCTTATTTTCATAATTTGCTTGTTCAAAAAATGAAAAGCATGACATGTATTGTTGAATGGATGTTACACATTATGACATAAGACTGGCCGTCTTAAAAGGAAATTAATATTTTGAACAATTAAACAATGGAAAATACACATTTTAAATTATAAAATACATATGGCACGGGAGATCGACCCGATAAGAAGTCAACAATGTCTAACCGCTAGGCCTCTCTGCAAACTGTTCATTTGCTCAGACAGTCCAACACTCACTTTTCTAAACAGATCATGCATGATTGAAATACTTGTATAAAGCGTGAAATAAATATAATTATCACACATTAAAATAAGGTGTGCACATTTATGATCAACTTACAATACTCTCTGCTTTTCATCTTCGCCATTGGTGCCGAATTCGGAAGGCAACATGTTTCTTCCGCCTCCACCACCACCACCAGCGCCGCCGCTCGTCCTACCCTGGCCCATTTGGTGGTTCTGAAACGAGAGAATTCAACCCATATTTAACACAAATTATATGGTAAACCGGGGAAAATGTGTAGTTAAATATTATATCTACTTACCCTTTGCCCTTGAGACCTATCAAAACCTGTGTTAGATGGGTATGAACCATAGTTTTGATATTGGTTTACGTTGAGGAAAGCCATTTTTCGATATTTTCGATTGAAGATGATGGCGATGAACACGAGGAACTTCCTGTACGCTTGCGCGTAGATGAATTCTGGGAAGTATGTTTCGATTCTAGATCTATCGCCCTCATTAGTCTTCAGTGTGTAACGTTGTTCCTCATTCACTAATCAGATTTCACAACTGAGGTACAGTATCATATCGTCAAGAAAAATTATTCCACTTATGAAACAAAAAATAAATAAACAATCATATTATGAATTAGTCATTTATTATTTAGCCGCTAAATTCACAAGGTTCCAATGAGAAAAAAAAAAACAACCCTGTTGCAGCTTCTCAAACTTTTTTTCACACCTCTTTGTTCTCTTCCCGTCTCTGCCTTTATGTATTTTTCGTCCCATGCAAAATAACTGCCAAAAACAATAATTAAAAAATCATTTTTGGAATTAACTTGCACTTAAAAATTATCTACTTGAACATATATATTGGTGTACTGTATTTAAAAATATTTACCTATAATTTTACAGCGAAAAATGATGGAAACAATTCCAGCCGAGATATACATGTTTTATTAATTAGGATCAGGGTACACATTATAAAAAATTAAAGAACACTCATATCATCAACATTCATATAAAATGACAAAAATTATTATAATAGAACTATAGAACAGTACGGAAAACCGTAGGCCTATGTATAGGCCTAAGTTGATCATCAAACTAGCAAAAATTTTCTCGTTTGTCTCGAAACGTGAAAATGACAGCAGTAGGCCTAATTTTTCTCACGACTAAATCAACTCCATTCCTTAGATATTATTACATTTATTCGAATAAACGCCCCGGGGCTTTTGAGAGGCGTTTATTTATATCATTCTGGTGTAGAATGGATACCGTACGTACTGTATATAGGCCTACTCAAATAAACACCCCTTAGCTTACTACGCCCCTTAATTACGGCAAGGTAATTGAATTGCCTTGTTACGGTAAATTTAGAACTGGAATTGAACACTTAGGCGAAACTTTGTTATACCTTGTTTATTTTAGCGTACCCGCCTCCTACCAATAATAATGATTTAAAATAACAATTTATTTTTGGCCAATTAGCGTACCCGTCACCAGAAAAAAAAATCAGAAGAAAATAAAAGTTTTTCTTTATTCTTATTACACCTGCTGCTGCCTTGAAATCTCCAAAAATATAAGATAGGCCTATCTATATTTCTTCCTACTTATATAAGCACTGAGCCATCCCATTACACTGTTTACATTCACCAATAAAATTAAATTTTTCTCCTTCGTCTGGATGTTTTTGACAAAACTATTTGCTAAATAAGACAACAAAATTTTATTTTTATATTTTTCCGCAATCCTCTAACAATCTTTAAAAAAAAAATAAGTTCGCGAAACAATTAATGTACGTATTGATAAAATATCGCCTAAATTACCGTCGCGCAGGTCACCTATGTAATTCTACTAGAGTAGAACATTAATAGAATGATTTTGATTTCATCGGATTCGTTTACAGTCATTTAGAGGGGCGTTTATACGAGAAAAAAATAAATGTCTGGGCTTTTTCGAGGGGAGTCGTTTATTCTAAACGAGGCTCTATGGGGTGGGAGCGTTTACGAATACTGTAAATATAAATAATTAAGCGAAAATATATCAGTAGGTGGGGCTGTGCATTAAAGATGGAAAAATATATAGCTATTATAATTTGAGAGTTTATGAGTTCAATATGAAGGTTTTGTATTTGAAATATGAATTACTGTGCAGGTATACACAGGGGACACACTCTGGAAATTCCACAAATAAACGTCTCTCGTTGACGGTGTGAGTAAGTTCTGTACAATATTTAGTACAAAGTGACGTAATGCTCGATAAGCCAATCAGCTCGTTACGATTACGGGGATTTCCACTTCACTTTTGGCAGTCAATAAACACCCAGAGCACAGGCTGACTGGTGACATTGCTGGAGAAAGTGCCATCGTAGTTAATGGTCTTCATGAAAGGATTGCATTAACCCTTAACCGTATTAACTTCGGACTAGGCCTAGACTTGAATATTTGCTGATACAAAATGGCTGCAATGCCAGTAGAAGAAGACCCGCAGCTGACTTTGCTGACGGAAATTTTTCGACCATACCTTGTGGAGAACCTGAGGTTCTCGACGATCGTATGTCAACTCACTGCATTTTTTGATCAACATGGTTCTGCAGGTAACCACCTAAGCATGAATTTATGCTAGGACCCAAGCCTGGGTTAAGGAGATGAATTAAATGTTTTGTCTTTAATGGGCCTAGGCTAGTTTCTTAATTAACATTGGCCTACCCTGGCCTAATATAATACATTACTATGCAGTTATCGAAGGGAAGATAATTAGAAATGTGTGGCAATAACATTTGAAAGTCATGGCGGAATGTTGTATTTCAGTGGTCCTATCTTTTGTAGCGTAGACCACCACTACTCTAGGGGTAGGCCCTACTAATACTATACTACCGGTGGATGGATTCTGGTGGGGGGGGGGGGGCAGTACCAGAGGCCTACGCATACCAAACAACATATTTGAATGTATAATAATTATTTATATTGGTTGTTTAGTTTTTCGTTTGGAACTTGACAATGAGAACAGACCTCTCTTGAAACTTTTACAGACTATTTGATCCTCTTTTGCTGCTGCTCAAGCAAGCCTCTTCACTGCCACAGCTTGTACTGAAATTTAGGCACATGTTTTACTACTGAAAATTTCAAAAAAAAAATTAAAACTATACAAATTTCCGACACTTAGGTTGATATTCATTTTTTTGTGCACTTTACAGGAATTGTAAACATTGTTGTAAAGGAACAACAGGAAGGTCCAGAAGCTGCTATGGAAGCATTCCTTGATTGGATAGCTGAAAAGGCAATTCCAGGATCTTACTCTGCTGTCATAAATGCCCTCAAACATATGGAAGGTATTGCAATCAGTGTAATTTATTCAAAGTTCATGTCATGCCTGTGTATGTGTTATTTGTGGTACTACTTTATAAAAAAACAATGCTCATATGCAATTGGCAATCTGACCCACATAAGGCAAGATTTAGCAAAACCTGCTGCCTGCCAATAATGATTGAATTGAGATTTTTATCCCATTGTCTGCCACCATAATGTCACTTTAATATATAGGCCTATATTTATTTTTCTCAAAATCAAATAAATAGTAATTTGTGCAACCACATGAGATCTCCAGTGATGACCTAAATGCCACCTTTTTTTTTACCTCACACACCCTTATATTTGTATTCATTAATAAAATGTTATTTTTGGTAGACTTGTTTTGCTAAACACCATCATTTTAAATTCATGCTCTAAAACAATTTTTTGATATGTTGTACAACTGATTATTCTAAGACACAAAAAGCATGTTTGACAAAAAAACTTGGAAGTGGTGGGAAAAGGTGGAAAAAATGGTGGTTATGCCATTTTCTCTCAGTTTATAAATATTCAAAAACCTTTCCTATGTTTTTCATCAAATATGTTTTTTATGCCTTAGAAAAAATAATTTCTCCGGAGTCTTTAAGAAATGTATTTTGCTATACAACTCAATGTATAAAAAATGTCTAGCATAAATATACTAAATAATTTAAATTAATTTTATGGTATTTATTGAACAGATGAGAAGGTGAAACACATAGCTGATTGGATTGAGGGAGTCGATCCGATGGAGAACATGGAGCATAAAAAACAAATTATACATACTTTTGCCCCAGTATTGAAAAATATTCCCACATCTCAGCTCGTCCGTCATTTAACATGTCTCGGACGTCAAGATAAAGAACTGTTGCAGGCGCATTGCGAGAACAAGGGTGATTGTTATGCAGCGATAACTCTGATGTTCCTCATAACGACAAAAGCTCCCGAATGGTTTACAGAACTTGTAAAAGCTCTCAGAATAATTAACTGGCTAGAGCTTGCAGATCTACTTGACCCACCAGAAGGTCAGAATAATGTAACTTTTTATGTGCATATTTTTAGACATAATATGTTAGACCTACACTTAACTAAATTTTATTTCAGAGAAAACATATATTTCTGGATTTAAAAATGTTGGTCCCATTTCTCATTATTTGTTTAGATGAAATCCTGAGTTTAGTTTTACTTAATTTTTGCAGATCACTCTTCTTTAACTGCCTTTAACATTCCAGGAGATGTGCCACCAGGTAAGTCCTTAATTATTATTATTTGTTAATGTTGTAGCTTTTGATGATGTTATTATTTTTATTATTATCATCTTTCTTTAACATTATTTTCATAAGAATATGAAACATTAATATTTTTGAAATTATTTTATTACTATATTTTTTTTATTGTTATTATTGTTAAAATAAGCTTTATTTTATTTTTTTAACATCCAACAGTGGGAAATTCACACTTAATTACAGAATGGAAACATAACAAGATACAAAGGTGCAAAAACTGCCTCATAATTGTATTGTCCTAATCACAACAAAGTGACAAGGAATTTTGTTGTCTTAGATATAGTAGAGAGCAGCTTAGCTCAGTCGGCTCAACTGTTGGTAGCCACCGTGTGTGCTATAAACCGTGGAGATCTCTTGGCCCCTGGTTTAATTCCCATCACTGCTCTCCTTGTATTTGAGCTGGACGGCTGAATACAAGTTACGATAGCGCACCATCTTTCTGATGAGACGTTTACGCCGTTGGTCCCATGTGTTAAGCCCCATGTGCACGTTAAAGAACTCAGCACCAAAAGAGTAGGGGATTGTCTCCCTGTGTACTGCCCAATCACTACCATAATAAGGAACTCACTGGAAATAAGTCTTCAGACTTTCGTTAGTTATCCTTTTTGTTTATACTGAATAAATCCATCCATCCATAGTGACACCATGAATATCTAAGTGGGTCAAAACTGTCCCCTACTGTACACCATCATGGCATTGTTATTTAATATTAATATTATCATCATTTTTGTTTTTCCTTATATTATTAATATTGATGATATATTACAATAATGATTATTATTATGAAAAATGTAATCTTTTAACTGCAATTTTTTTGCCATTTTTAGCTGAAGGTTGCTTTAAAGCATGTCCACCACAAGAACCTGATGAAATTATCGAGATTGAGCTGCGTGATTATCAAAAGGAGCTATCCCAGCATGCAGTTCAGGGGAAGAACACAGTCGTCGTTGCCCCAGCCGGCTCTGGTAAAACAGTTGTTGGGGTGTATATTGCAAAAATGCACCTTGCAAATGGCATGATAGCATCAAACAATAAACCAAAGAAGATTGCCTTTCTAGTAAACAAGGTGATTACACCCTGCATATTAGCTTGGTCATCATTGGAGTGTATCTAGGAGTCTTGAAATGGGGGTCTGATTGGGAGGGGGGAGGAGGTGTGAAGGTGAAATGGGGGAGCTCAATGATAGTTGAGGGGCATTAACTTGCAAAATGAGGTGATTTTAGGGGATTTTGTAATACTTGAGCGTGATTTTTTTTGGTGGCCGACTGGGGGTGGTATAAGCAGTTTTCGGGAAAATTCCCCATCTCCCATACACCCCCTAGATTTGCTACTCTTGGTCATTAAACTAAGTTGCCTCTTTTTCATATTCCAAGATCCTGTGTTCAAATCCTGAAACTCAATTTTTTATTTCAACCCCAATCTAAACCAACTTCACTTCCAAAACTGCAGCATCAGTTCAGTTCTGTTCCTCCAACCAATTCCAGTCGCATCCCAATGGCTGTCTTCTAGCATCCAAAAATATGCCGGGTTTGACTGGGTTAGCTTCTTAGCTTGTCCTGGATCACATTGAAGGAGATTGCTTATTCTTATTCATGGGTCATAATTTCAAAAAATGCAAGATTATAGTACAGTAAGACAGCAAATCATATTAATATTAATACCTGTACAAACTATTCTAATTGCTTATTACTTAATCAGTAGGATTACACAGTTTTTGCACCATGATAAATATTTCTTGAAAAAGTGGAAGGTTCGCTATGCATTTTTATGGAACTCGAGTTAGATTTTAGCTTTACTTGCTTGAGTATGCAATTGATTGTACTGAGGAAGAACATTTCATTTATATATATATATATATAGGTTCCTCTAGTGAAGCAGCAACAGGACCAATTTAAAAAGTATATGAGCACAAGTAAGGTGATTGGGGTCAGTGGTGAGACAGGCAGTACAATGATGGAGATCAAATCGTTACTTAAAGACCGAGACGTCATCGTGATGACTGCGCAGATTCTAGTCAATGCGTTAGACAACACAGACAGTAACAAACAACGGCTGGATATCTCTGACTTCAGTATGATCATAATGGATGAATGTCATCGATGTCAGGTTAGAATTTAATTGGCAGTCTCTTATCTAGTATTGATATAGTGTGAGAGGTGGACACAATTGGAAGTTGGGAGAATAATGGAAAATTGTAATGGGGCATATGCTAGTTGGGGAATGAAGTGATAATATGTAATGTTTAAATACTTAATCATATTTTTTCTTGGCATGTTTTTAATATGAGGTACAAACTTTGTAGAGGAGAGGGAAACTTGTTAGCTTTCTATTGAAATTAAAAATGCAAAAATACTCCTGAGAAATTAACAGATGCATAACATGATTTAAAAATAAATAATTTGTGTGTACATAAGACAACCCTGTGTTTTTCAATTTCAATCGTAATTTGCTAATTTAAGTCTTATCTTGTATACCAGAATATATGTGGCAAAGACAAGCCAAGCCAAACCAGTCACTCGTCGCAAATCTTGTTTTAGAGATATTGGCTAATACATGCTGGAATGCCAAAGTTTTTGAAATCTATTTTATCACACTAAACTAACATTTATATATCTGTATATCATGCTATGCCATTATTTTCCCCATTTTCAATGTTAAAATAATTTTTAATGATTTGTTAATGATTTCTGCCTGAGAAATGCCCAAAATCATAAACTTTGAAGGCTGATTTCTCAAATATTTTTCTTTAAACAGCTGTATGTTTAAATTTCTCTAATTTATAACGAAATGTAAGATTTAAATGATTCTGTTACCATTTTATAGCTTTAATTGTACTGTTTAACCTTGTATTAGTAACTAAAAATAAATTTTTGCAATGAGTGACTGGTTTGGTTTGTCTTTGCCATATATGGTGATTGATTAATCTTTCAATTTCATTATGATAATTATAATTATATATTATTCTTAATTAAAACAATTGTAACTATTATCAGCAAAGTTATTTTATGCAGACAGGATTGTGCAGAATATGTCACACACTATGGCATATACTAACAATTCCTATGAATTGAGTATGTGGGTGTGACAACATTGACCTGATATGATTCATGTTGGATATTTTGCCAGAAAATTCCCAATAATTCAATTATGTCTTATGGCCTATAAATAGATATGGAAAATCCACAACTTGCTCATCACAAATTCTTTCATCACAAAAGCTATTCTGACCGAAATATTTATTAAAGTTCTTATCCAAATATTTGATGACTATTATTAGACTGGTTGGTCTTTTCAAGACATGGAAAAAAAAAATAAACATGACTGAACTCAATTTATCTCTTTGGAGATCTTGTCTTTTCGTCAAGACGGCATATTACATTGATGTCTATGTTAATGTGTGTGTGTTAAATACTAGTGTTATATTGGCATACCAAAATGAATTGCCTTTAATCGGTTTAAGGCATTTGCATAAGACAGCAGAAGTCCCAGAATATACTGTTATATTCTCTACAATGTTATATTGAGCACTTTTTCAGCTGAAACTGAAGTACGCTAACTTGTGTGTGTGTGTGTATATATATATATACTGTCTCTTATACATATCTAGATGTGTATAAGAGACAGGAGAGCAGCTTAGCTCCAAGGCCACAGGTGTGTATGTGTGTATGGAAACATATGGCACAGCTAGTTTGGTTCCAGTTTTTGAACTTTGATGTGAAGGTTCAAATCCCTAGGGGACCATACAGTGTGTCAGTGGCAATGCCCATTGTCTGCATTAGGCCAAAACAAATTGTTTGTTTGCCCTCCTCAACCTTCCCCTAACTCACTGAAAAAAATAGGGGTGGAAAAACCAAAATATTTTTTTTTTTAAGTTTTTTTTTTTTTTAGATGTTTTCTTTACAAATAAAAAAAATGTGAGTGAATTTATCTTTATTTTTTGCCAGATGCCCTACATCTTAGACTAAAGTTGTTGTCTGATGTAAGATACTGCCATTCAAGGCCTCTGTGAGTTTGTGAGTTATTTCCATTCTATCTGATAAGTATCTTTAAAAAAAAATAAATATAAAAAAAATCCCCCCCCCCCCCCCGCCCGTATCTATCATTTTTAAAAAAGAAGGGCAAGCAAACAATTTTTTTTTGGCCTTACCATATAGCTATTTTTTTCATTATGTTATTAAGAAAGCACTGTTAATGTTATTTAAGAAACAAAAACAAACAACAAAAATGATCACCTTTTAAGCTGTATATACCTGATAATTTTTATATTTTTTTTTTATTGGCAGCAAACCCACATTTTAAATCAGCCCTGTCTCTTTCCACCACAGAAATTTGTGGCACTATGGAAAGAACTTCTGGCATATTAAGAGGATATGCCTACATTCAGTGGTGGCTCCAGAAATTTGCCAACGGATGATCGAACTAAGGGGCTGACTAGAGCTTCGGTTAGGGTTCCAGAGTATAATTCCTGATAGGGTTCATGAGGAGAGTTTTAATATCTAGTAGTATGGCCCAAAATTGTGCTTTTACACCAAAATATTAGGGATTGACAATTAAAATAATGTTATTTGTATAGTTAAATTGTATTTTTGGTCCGATGACCTCGTTGGGCATCAGACCCACCCAGTAGGTGATCCCTGCTGGTGCCGTGACTGCTTACAGTGCGATGGCGCCCTCATTTTACAAATAAAATTAAGGCAACTATCTTATATAACCATTTTAATGTAGTTCCAATGTTGAATGAGTAGCCTAGATACAAATATTTCTTTTAAGAAACAAAGAGATGTACTTAAATTTTTTTTCCCTAATTATTTAAGATCATTGGCTTGACTGCTGGTCTGGGAGTCGGCCAAGCCCAGTCATCCTACAAAGCTGAATCGCACATCTTAATGCTGTGCGCCAACATGGATGTGGAAAAAATATCTATCGTAGAAGAAAACGTGGAGGAGCTAAACAGACATGTGAATATACCCACTGAAGGTAAGCGACAGAAAATGTTAGTTGGCAAAAGAATTTAATAATTAGCCAATATCATCAATGTATATATATTTACATTTCATTATGGAATACATTTATGGCAGGAGACTAAAGTACTTACAGGGGACATAATGCTCCCTGTCACCACCCCTTTAGCCAGTGCTGCTACTCACCTAGAATCTGTTTTAATCAAGCTTGTTAAAGTTTGTTGTTTTGATTATGGTTTGTTTATCTAATCATTTTCTCATTTTTAATAGAGACAATCCTAGTAGCTCGTAAACAGGATGATAAATTTGCTGAGGGCGTGAATTTAATCATGGAAAATATTGAAAGAATCATAGCGGAGTCTGAAGGCAAGTAACAATAAAACTAAGACATTTTTTAACTTGATAATCTGCTGTATTTGATCAAACTTCTTGTACTAATGCGATTCAATCAACTTCTGATAATGATGCATTCAAGACCCTCTTTAATCAATAATTCTTATCTTTACCTTTAAGCATCAGTGACAAATATTTTTCTATCAGGCACTATACAAACTCTCCAATTTATTATTATTATTTATTTGTATTTGATTTGAAGTGAAATTCAACAAAAAGAGGATTAAGTGTATATCCTAAGTAATTTTAAGGACACAATACAAAATTGTTAATTTGATTTTTTTTAAACAGATTAATGAACTGAAATTTTTACCATAAATTAAAAACACATTTAATTTTGACATTAATTTAAGAGTTTCTTCTTTCATAGGTGGCAAGCGTCTCGCGGAATTAGATAGAAAGGATCTACAATGCCCAAACACCAGGGGAACACAACCCTATGAACAATGGGTTGTGAAGATGAAAAATGCCAGTGCTACAATTCTTACTGACAATGACATGAGGCGTGTTATTGTAGCTTGTAGTAATCACTTGAGGGTACGTAGTGCCACTTATTGCAGAATAGGCCTGCTAACAGCAGAATGATAATTCAAATAGGTAACAAAAGCAGTGGGTTAGCTACAAAGAGACATGACAGACAGTTTAAATAAAATATTTATTTATATATTTTATTTTTTGGCATTTTTGGGAACCTGCTTGTATTTTTTAATTTGTTTTTTAAATTCCCTCAAATATGTAATTCTTTCCTGTTTTTTTCTTTTTGTTGGTAAATTTGTTATGTTTTTCCTTTTTTGTGCTAATTACATTTCAATTGTTTTTGACTGACTGACCAGTGGGCCTATGAGGGATAAACCAGCATTAGGCTATACTGAAGTAATGTAAACTGAAACATGACTAAAAAAACAGACCCGAAATGAAACGTCAAAGAAAATTTACATCTAGGCTTACAAAAGTTACCATCACTTTCATCGGAAAATCATTTTGATGGCATAGTGGCTATTTTGTGCAAGTGCAAAAGACACATCAAACTAAAATACAAACCAAATACAAACCTAAACAGAAAAGTCATCCTGATTCTTGGACATGTAAAATACTAAATATTAAAGCAGAGGAATTGCTTACAATTGCAAGTTGCAGTTGATGGTAAAGGTTTATTTGTATTGTTTTATTTCTTTAAATAATATATTTTTATATATATAGAGTACTGCAGTGTTACGTCACGGTACCATGTGATACGACTCTGTTGCTCTCGGCGACACAAAATGCGTTCAACCGACACTATTTTCTCCACTGACAAACCATTGATCCCAATTTCTAACATAATTATTAAGAAGTTGTATCTTAATTTTTCTTTGTAGATGATTGATAATTATATGTGTGTTCGATAACTAATATAATGCGAGCTTTTTGTGTTTTTAGTACATTTTGATGGTAAATTATTAGGTTTTAAAATGCCTATTCCAGAGGGCCTATTCTAAACCATTAAGATTATGAAGTCATTCAGGTGTAATGAATGGTAACCTACATCTTGTTGTCAACAGAAGGCGCCACCTGGTGTTGTGACCACATGACTATTGTATAGTAATATATGATTTATTTATTTTTTATTTGTCCATTTGTTCAGATATTTAGTTGGTTGTTTGTGTGTTTGTAAATTTTCTATGCATTTATTTATTGTCTTATGCCATCTATCAATTTGTTTATCTATTTTTATGTATATATATTTATTTATGTAATAGATTTATTTATCTTTATGCACTACAGGAGTACACCAATGCTTTGTACATTAACCATGCTGTAAGACCTAAGGATGGACTGACATACCTTCAGAATTTCTTTGATAATGAGAGAGACAAGCAAGATTCGTTTAATGATACTGAAGCCCAGTTGTTCAGGTTTTTTACAGGTTAGTTCAACTACACCTGTATGGTGTAGGCTGGGATTTGGGTGAGAGAAAGAGTTGGGTGGGGGTCCTATGTGGGTGTTGGCAGTTCTGCCTGCTAGCCAGATGGTCTTTCCATAACAACAACAAAGACCTGATGTTGTACAGAAAAGTAGGCAGGCACTAAAGAAAAAACTGTTTCAGGGTACAGGCCAAGATTCTCTAACCTCTTTTTAAAATGTATTTCTTCTTTTTTCTCTTAATGTCAAAAATTCTTTTAAAAGCACATATAGACCGTACACTTAATTCCCAGCAATGGCAATATGATCAAGCTATGTTTAAACTATGTAACAATTGACATTTTTGTTACCTCAGAGAGAGAGGAGGAGTTAAAACAAATTGTGGAAGATCCAGAAAACCGCAATCCTCTTCTGGACAAGTTAGGCAGCACGATGCGCAGTGCTTACGATATGAAACCCGACTCTTGCGGAATTCTTTTCACAAAGACAAGATCATCGACGGAAGCGCTGAAGGCATGGATAAAGGAGACGCCAGAACTGAAGCACTTGAATCCTGGGATTCTGATTGGTGGAGGGGGTAGTGGAGGTAGATTTAACCTATACCTTATTTAAATGCAACAAAACATGCTAAATGATACACAGACTTCATAAGGTATTCCTACCGAAATCACCATTGTTTTCACACAAGTGAATTTATACCTTAATAATGTAGGTTGTAATAGATGCACAAAGCAAATGTGATGTATAAGCTTTTTGTCCCCTGAGCATGCACACAGATTCAATTTTCCTTTGACAATATATAGTAATGATGGACCTATATATGGTCATGATGTGATGTCATCATGACCATATTTATGCATGTCACATTTTTTTTGTCAAATCAAATTTGGTAATGTGGACAGGGCTTCAGGAACGTTACAGGCCTCTGCTGTGTACTTTTTTATGTGAATAATACACAGGATGTGTGCTAATTTCACATTGATGCACCTTCACACAGATGCAATGTAGCATCCCGAATAACATTTTCTCTTGTGTACGTGCAAATTGTATATTTTGTAAACAAACTTTTTCAGCCATTGGCTGCTGTTTTGTATTAGTTTTTATACAGAAATAACATTTTTTTTAAAATAGTAAGTATTCTCAGTTCTTGTTTGTTTTTTAGTTGCTGTGTATGATTAATATTCTGGCATTATACACAGATTTTCTTTCAAAATATACTAGAATAAAATAGAATTGCTAAAAATCATTATTTTGAAGGAATGACCCAGACGCAGCAGGTTGACTTACTGCAGATGTTCAAAGAGAACAAGCACAAGCTAATCATAGCAACGTCAGTTGCTGAAGAAGGTATAGATATCCAAGCTTGTAACCTGGTCTTCAGGTACAATTACTTCTCGAACACCATTGGTCGAATTCAAGCTAGAGGTTAGTATTGTTAAAACTTGTCCCTTAGATGGATCAGGGTGATTGAAGGGGTCTTAGCCATTCCCACCTCCCACCCTAAATTAAAAAATATGAGATATAAACCTGAGAGTGTTGTTTCCTGACGTTTAGAGGGGCCATTACAAGCACAATCATAAATACCATCACAATCATCATAACAAGTACTAGCGCATTCATCCTAACAAACATGTTTTCTATCTTGAAAGCCATGTTGTACCCCAGCCCGGTTCCAAGACTCGTGCAAGTTACTCGAGCCTTCGGGAAAAAACAAGATGGTCTCATGCAAGCAAGCAAGATTCTCCCCAAAAATAACCCGTCTCTTGCAAATTCATAATATTTTCATGTTTTGACTACTTTATTATCAATTGTCCCACAGATGTCAGTGTCACTTGGTCTCACCGTGTACAGCAAACTTAAAGCCCCATTCCCGGCAAAATTTCACTAAAAACAGATTTTTTTTTTTTAGAAAAGATGCATATGCATTACTTCAATTATTATAAATCATGGAAAAATATTGGCATAAATTTTAGTTTTACGCAAAAGAATAAAAAAAAAGAGGAATGCAGACTATTTCTCATAGAATATTACCATTTTCTCGACGAATTCTTCGTTACTAGGCAAATTCGGAGGTTGTAGATCGCATCCGTAGGAATACTCTCGCTTTTATGTATACTTTATACAGTCAGTAAAGGGTGCCCTTTCTAATGGGATTAGTTTTTGTACTTCGCATCTCGCACAATGTGGTCGTTCGAGTAGGTCTGAGATATGTTTGTTTAAGTGTCAAAATCTCGGTCAGAATCAGTTTTTTAACAAATTTGAAATAACTCCTATGAAATATTATATTTCACAAGTGTCAATACTAGCAACGGAAAATATCATGTCGGCCATTTTTATGTGTGATAACAGAACCTAAATCGAGGAAAGGCTAGGCCTAGCTTAGCAGTGTTGAATAGGCTAATGTTTTCGGCGCCTACTATATTTCTTCGCACGACCTATCGCAAAATCAAACATGAAAAATTCATCCGCATTCAAATTTCAGTCTTATTTTACATTTTTTTCATGCTTAGGAATGTCAAAATTTAGTTATACTAGCAATTCCGTATTGTATATATAAATCTTTATAACATTATACAAAAATTAGATTTTTCTTAACAACTGAAATTTTGCCAGGAATGGGGCTTTAAGTTAGATATCTTAAGAAAGTACAGTACATTTAACCAGATCTCTTAGAAGTGACTTCTTCCAATATGAGACACCTGAAAGTCCAGAGGCTATGTCAACAAAACAATTTATATGTTGAAGTTCTTGTTTTTAGCAAAACAAACAATATGATATATGATTATAAATGAATGGGATTTGAACCCCTGATGTTTAAGACCTCAAGCAGAACCAATTTCATCAGCCACTTTCACACATTAGTAGACTTTTGTAAATTGTTTTTTTATTTTTTTATCTTTTAGGTCGAAATCGTGCAGCCCATGGGAGATTCTTTCTGATAGCATCGGTAGACTCCGGATTGGGCAACCAGGAGGAAATGAACAAGATCCGTGAATCTATGATGAATACAGCAACAAAAGCTATCAAAGGGATGCCCAAGGAAGATTTCCTCAAGCAAATTGATGATTATCAACGGAGGGATAGAGCCGAGAGGCGTATGAAAGAAAAAGGCAAAGTGTCAAAACAGAAAGAACACAGCGGTATTGAAGTAGAGCTGATCTGCTTGCAGTGCGGAAATGTGGCGTGCCGTAATACAGACATACGACGCATTAAAAGTGCTCACCACGCTGTGTTTGGTGATTTCATGGCTGAACGGTACAAAACGGTGCCAAATCCGAAGAAATCCAAGCGCATAAACGACCTAGAATTTCTGGAGAAGGTGCATTGTGCTAATTGTAGTCAGGAATGGGGTTGTATGCTGAAGTACTGTGGTCATTTAGCCCCGGTGTTGAAAATCTCGTTCTTCGCTGTAAAGTATAATTCAGGAAAACAAGTAAAGTACAAGAAGTGGTCAGACGTACCCTTCCATGTCCAGGAATTTTCAATTGAAGATATTGAAAAAGAAATTAACAAAGAAAATGTCAACAAATTAGATGAAGATGTTGACCAACTAAGCTTAGAAAAAGCATAGTAACATGCAAAAGAATGTGTATGAGCACATAGGTAACAAACAATATTATAACATTCTAGTTTTTTAATTATTATTATTATTATTATTATTATTATTTATTATTATTATTATTATTAACTGATAATGTACAAAAATCTGTTGTTCATGCATAAGTTGTAACATACAAAAATGATATCAACATGAGCACATAGGAAACCATCAATATTATGACAATTCTGGTTTTTATTATTGTTTTTATTAATGTTATCATTTTTATTATTGTTATTGTTATTATTGACTTTGTGATAATAATATACAGAAATCTCTTGTTCATAATGTATGGCATATGCTGAATAATATAACGTACATAATATGTAAGTCAAAACCATTCTACAGATGAGAGGGTTATATACATCATTTTAGCTAAATTTGATATGAAAATTTCCAAGAACCTGGGAGACATCCAGAGGTTTAGGCATTTCGCTCTACGTAGTTACCAGTGTTTGTCTATAGACGCGATAAAATGGTGTATATTCATTTCTGTTAGTGAGTTTGTCTCTCTGTTAGCAGGATTGTGCAAAAACTAATGAATGGATCATACAATTTAGTGGAGTGTGGTACATATTGATCTAAGGAAGAGGTGATTAAATTTGGGGGTTCCAAAGGTCAAGTTCACAGAAATTTTTAGAAAATGATTGAAAATTTTCCTTAATTATAATGGAATCACATATCTTGTACCCTGTGTATATTGCTTATTCTGACACAGGGCAGAGGTATGCATTAAGTGACTGCTAGTTGTTCAAATATTTTCATTGTATAAAATGTTTAGGAGCCACTGAGTAAAAAAAAAATGTTGTGGCAATATAAAGAATGTAATCTTTTAATATATTAATTTAACTATGTGGAAATCTGTTTTAAATCTATATTGCCAGATTTTTTTGTTTCGATTTAAGTTTAACAATATAGTAAATATAAATATAATAACTTATTTAATGAGGGATTCAGCTGATTTTTTACATAAGTGAATGCAATATTTAGAGTAATGTTTTAGTAAAAATATTGCATATAATATTAAAAATTGTAAAATTGTTTCTTATTAATCTGTAAGTGAAATATTATAAAGGATCTCAAAGAGGAAGCTTAAAGCACAACCAGAACAAGTAGATTTCCTACTGAACATGTTTCCCATTGTACAAAGTGTGTTTCCCAGTATAAAGAATAAATAAAGCCATTCTGTCATTTTACATCTCAATATCTTTGTAATATTATAGGTTGCCCATACAATCAACATAATAAAATAAAGCAAAATTTAGAGTAATATTTGTGTTTTAGTAGGGTAGCAGTAGCACATCTGTCATGCTTTTTGCATGCATAAATGATGGATCATATGCAGCTTGGAAGTTGTGCCAGCATATTGTCAAGAAAGTTTTAGGCTGCACCAATAATGATAATTGGTCTACTATTGTTTAAAGAAGCGTTTGCTATACGTAGGCTACACCCATTGCTTAACAATGGGCTGAAAGCTTCAAAGGAGCTTTCTTTGTTTTTGTAGGTAACTTTGATCAGTAGGGTAAGGATGCTTTGATCTTTAGTTTATTCATAGCTGTGTCACCTACTAGGGGTAATGTTTTAATTGGTCAAACACTTTTGGTACTTGTGTGTATAAGCTTGCAAATATGGATAATTTTTCCATATCTGATGATGACATAATTAATGTCGAAATATTGAATCCCGAGACAATGGCATGCATTTCGATAATGGAGTATGTATTATACTATCTAATGATAATGACGTATTCATATTTGTTATCGTTTTTCTCCCTAATATTAAAAACAGTTTAAGTGTTAGTTAATATTTTAAAACACCTGAAAGAGGGAGTTCAAAGCAAATTGTCATTTTAAATACTCAATATTTTATCTATTGTAACAAACATTAAATATTGTCCATATTATATTCATTGTTATAAAGAGCAATTTTCAGATTTAAAAAAAAAGCTGTTTTGAAATACTGTAATATGTATTCAAGGAATCTAGTATGTCGGTCTCAATAATTTTGTGCCAAATTGTTGTTAAATAAAGTTAATATACAGTATACAGTACGAGTACCATTTATTATTTTTCTGACTTGGCGTTCCATAGGGAGGAAAAATACTCACTTGTCGTCGTTCCGGGGGTGTAAGGTCAAACGAGAGACTGACAACGTCAACTTCCGGTTTTCAGCCATTTTGATACCCGGCAGACCGAGAATTTTGAAGATCGAATAAATCTTCAAACATCTTAAAATCTATAAAGAATTTGCGATATTTTATTTACATGAAGTAGTAATAGTACACTTACAATCATGCAAAACGCAATTTGGAAGATTCGTGAGATCAGTGACAAAGTGTAAGTAAGAATTTCCTGTCTAGGTTTCGGAGTAGGAGGGGCTGATTAAGCCTTCCCTTCGATACTGATACTGATATTGAAACTACCTGTTGGGGTTGGCGATACAGTACTTACGCTAGGCCTAATAATATCATATCATATTTGGTAGCTGTAAATGTGTCAAATAGTTATTATTACAGTGAACTTAATATTTTGAGTTTCCGGTACTTGAAAGTGGAAATAAGATGGTTGAATTGGGAGTCATATTATAATAGAACATAGAAATAGTAGTTAGGCTCCTAGGCCTAGTGCCTTAGTAGTAGGGCCTTGCTTCTTTATCTTAGGCCTAGCTAGGCTAGCCCAGGTCCTGCCTGGTTGGGCCTCAAATTCTGGTAGGCTATGTGGCCAGGCTAGATTAGGTAAAGCTCTAGGCATAAACATCATCACTGTAATTGAAATATCAACTGATAAATTGAAATTGATAGTGCTAAGCTAGGCCAGGCCTAGCTAGGCTAGGCCTAGTAAGTAGCATTGTTAAAAACAGTGGCAGTTCCATGAATAGACCGAATCGGCACCTCCAGCTATTACTGGTCCCGTGACATATAGTGGGTACTAAATGTAAACACATCGTAAACCACAGTGCGCTCGGTTTTTACACAGTATATTGAGAGAGTTGCAATACTTTTTAGACAGCGGCCCAAAGTAATGTAAGATAAGGCAGTATGTTTTTTTTAAAATAGTGATTTATAATTATGTTGGCTATCTCTGTGCATTTTATTTAGGCTCTGGGATGCTGCTAGTGTAGGCAACATACAATTACAATGTATAGGCCGACTACACTGTTAATATTAAGCTTTGACCAGACAAGAGAGTTGTTATACCTCGACTATACTCTGTACTCGAGTAGGTAATAACATAGAAAATAGCCCTTAACGGTACTGATTACTCAACCGAATTTGGCCTTGGTGTAGGAAACAGGCTGGTGATAATAAGCCTGGTTGGTATGGTACAGTAATATTCCAATGTCAGTACATAATAATAATAATAATAATAATATTTGTTGTTTATAATGTCATGATGATGATTCTAGGCAGTAACTACTAGGCTAACATCCTATGATTTAATTTTAGATTTAAAATAACTGTAAAATATTTCTCTTGGGCTACATAATGTTCACTCAACCTTCCTAATATAATGTAGTATCTGTTAACAATGTTATTAACTGGATTCTTTTTTTTTTCATGCGCTTGCCATGAATAATATATGCTTGACTTAGGCCTGAAAAGTACCTCAGCCGGCGACGACTCCACTGGAGCAATCAATGCACATTGTGAACGTACTTTTCCATGAAAAACTTCTTGGCTTTACTCACACTATCCATTGGGGTCTTTCCAAACCAATCTTAGTGTTTGAAAATTGAATTTTGGAACACTTCTAAGTGATTTACCCAATTGTAACTCGCGTTCCAACCAGCATTTGCAACATCGATGGTGTGCCTTCACAACAAGGGAAGCTCTATTCAATGCACTGTCATCGCGCGATCTTGATAGATTGTAAACAGACCCTATGCCCACTTATAAGTCACGTGACCTGAGCTGCCGATTGGGTCTATTTGCTGATACACACAGGGTTTAAACAAGTCCAAATGGGTGTTTTGATCAAGGTCCTGGAATACCCCTCATAACAGACTATAAAATAATGCTTGCGAGGGGATTATATCCTCTTAGCAAAAATTAGGCCTAGATGCGTGTTTGCGAATTACTGAAATAAGGGCAGTTTTCCACACAACTTTTGCAATAAATTAGGCCTGGCCTATCTCTCAGTACAGCCATTGTATTATGCAGTAGTACTAGTAGTTATGGTTCCATGCACCTATTTTCCTATTGATTTTCCATGCAAATTTAAGTTGGTTTTTGAGATATCCTCCATGCAAAAAAATACTTTACAGTATGAAGCGCATGGGAGAACCACCATGGGTTTTTTGAAATTTAAACCAAAGATTATAACAAACTGACAGGTAGTTGGATTTATATATAAAATTAAAACATTGGAACTGTTGATGTTAACTTGTACTTTGTATATTCACTCCTACAGCACAAATGTTGTGATGAACTACAGTGAGGTGGAGGCTAAGGTGCGTGAAGCCACAAATGATGAGCAATGGGGGCCTCATGGAGCTTTGATGGCAGAAATTGCCAAAGAAACCTACACTTACGAACATTTTCCAGAGGTGATGGGTATGTTGTGGAAACGTATGCTGCAAGACAATAAGAAAAACTGGAGACGAGTTTATAAGGTGTGTATCAACATGTGAAGTTATTTTGTCATAGGCCCGGTCCTAAATAATAAACAACACTATCTATCATGACTAAAAAAGTTGAATGTTGAAATATCAGCAATTATGGCACATTATAGTATGTTTTATTTTTTGGGTTTTTAAAAATTTTTTTGATCAAATTCGGGTTCCAGGTCGCTTTTCTCTTACATCTACTCGGTCCCTACTATACTCAATTTGGCCATAAGTCCTTTGTATGTTATAGGCGACCTGGACAAGAGCCTGGGCTGGAGTGGTGCAAAACATTAGGCCAAGTTGAATGGTATCTTTATAGTTCTACATACAATTTACAATAGTAGAGCTAAAATACACTTACTAGCTGACCAAAAAATTATTATTAAAGTATAGTATGTCGAGTAATATAAGGCTGCATGTAAAGTTAACAATATACTGTACTGTCAAGTATAATGTAGGAAACTTAAAAATCCCAAAAAATATTACAAACAGTTATTAGATTTCACTAAAGAGAGAAAATAAAAAATTGTTGCCAATTAATTAATGGATGTTCAAATAATCATAATTGTGCATAGTAATCCTTAAATTTGCTGCCTAAAAATTCATCAGAAAAAGTAGTTGAATTTTTTTTTGTCTATAACTTCTTAATAGTTCTTTGAATGAGCAGTTCAAAGTTTGATTTTACTTTTTGAGACTTATTCTTTGGTTGAAGTATTTGATAATATGGTATTAGTTACATCTCTACACTTGTTTTTATAGCACATAAAGAATTTTTGTACTTTTCGCTTGATAAATTTAAAACAATTAGCCATTAGTTATTAATGATTAGTTACCTGATCAGTAAATACTTGCAGTAAACCATGGTGTTGATTATGAAAACAGCCACATTTTGTTTTTTGATGGGAATACATTTTAGTTCATTTTAGTCTTTGGGAGAATAATGAAGATCCTGTTATTAGGTTTGATAAATAGGGTGGAGTGTTGACCGGTACAACATAGTGTTAAGTGGTTAACAATAGGCACTTCACGTTAGTTTGTGAGGAGTTAAGTGGAAAAAACAGATCTTTGTTGCCTTGTGTCAACTCAAAAGCTTGAGATGTCACTTGACGTCACAATAGTCCCAGTTGAATACTGAACCCCGTGGTTAATAAGAAGTCCAATGCTGTTGAAACAATTTTTAAAAACTATAGTCGCAACAAAGAATGAAAATTGCCTTACTCTGTGTCTTTACACTGTTAACAAGTATTTTTCAAGATTGGAGAGGCTGGTGGAGCAAGAACCTACAGTAGTCAAGTGACGACAATTAATATCTGAGGTATGTGACTTGATGACCGGCTGGTAGACTGCTGGAAGGAGGTGCTTCACTTTGTCTTGTGTCAAGATCAGAACTGGTGGCAGCAATGAAGGTGGATTCTTTGACACCACCTTGGAACCATCTAAACTGAAGGCTAGATAGTCGAAGGGTCACCACTCCGCTATCGACGTCCACAGTTTTTGGCGGTGGGCCTAGCCTTTGGCCATCTAAGACGTCCTTGCAAGGCAGTAATTCCCATCCCCCATATCCAGAGGCCTGCTCAGTTTAATGGCTCTGACCATCCCACCAGTCACAGAGAGGTTTATATGGTTATATGTTGTAGAAGTTAGTTGAGAATGATTAACCCCACAGACAACCTGCCTTCTCTGCCTGACTAGTTTAACATCAAACTAAGGACACATGTTCATGTGTTACCTTGATAAATTAAAAGTAATTATTTTGTAATATTCATCAACATGTGGTGTAAGCCAAGTGCATATTGCACCAATACAAACACCAATACTGAAAGTACAGGAACTTAATAATTATATTCATTTCATTATCAATAACTTGCATTATGCAGCCCATGGATTTCACGTCGGCAATCGGTAATTGCCGACCATATTGCCGAGCCAGAATTGCAATAGGACGGCAATTTTTTGCCGACCTAGGGCTAGATTTCTTGGCTTTAAAAACTGCTTGGAAAGTCAAAACTTTGAAACAGGCTATAGCAGACTCAAAATTTTATGTATATCGTCAAGGCAAGGAAATTGGTTGTCTGTAAAACAGATTTGTTTGTACAATAACTGATTCTAATAGGTACAATCGTCGTCTTTCTCGCCTAGCAAGGCCTAGTCGTTTTGTAGGCTAGGCCTAGGTACGAATGATGCATTGCTAGCCAGCCAAGGCCTAAAACATCGCCCAATTGAAGCCTTGTGGGCCGCGTAGATCGTAATGCTTATCTAAATCTATTATTTGTCTTCATTTTACAGTATTATCATATTTCAAATGTTGTTTATTATCTAAAAACAACCAAATTCAACATATTGTAGGCCTGATTCTACCTTCTGTTTAAACGCAATCACGATCACATCGTGACTTCACTACTGACAACTACATGTGTTGTGTACATGTGTGGAAAATTCCTGATAGATCGTTCTGGGCATGCGCATGGACATGCATGGGCAGTTTTGAAGCAGCCTGTGATGATCGTAGCTTTTATGAAAGTGATATTTCCCATGCTAAGGATAACGCTAAAACGAACGCTAAAATGACATTTATTCAGTGATTTTCTTACGTAAAACATATGTATTATATTACACTATTAAATAATACAAGTACAACCATTCTTTCACCAGCAATATATTGATTTAATAGAGAAATTCACGATCTGTAGATGACGACGAAAAGTCGAGTGTTCGGAAAAATCGTAGTTTATACTCTATAGGCCTAGGTAGTAAAAAATTGCCGAGACTGCCTCAGAGAATTTTTTGCCGACCTATTTTTTTCCTAATTTCATGGGCTGATTATGTTTGTATAATGGTTTAGTAAGCCATATTTTGGCGGATACTGATACACTATTAATGTTTAATAAATTTAATATTATTTTTACAATTATTGTTACTGATATTCTCCCAGAATCGAAATTTGCGTGGTAGGCCTAATTATGAAATTATGTCTCCACTTTTGTTTCCTAGTTTTACATAAACAGTAAGTTTGTACTTTTGTCATTAGACAAACATAGATTATTTTGCTTTCACTTCTATTCTAACCATTCACCTTGGAATAAAAAGATGTATTCACTCGTCACTTAATCTGATACAGTAGTGACAATGTGAGTGTGTAATGCTCACAAGTTTGTACTGTATGTCAACATCATATACTGTAGAATAATAGGCTTAAACCATTGGATTTAAAAATAATGCAGTGTAATCCTCATCCTTAATCTATTATAGAAATCTACATATTCTCAATATGGCAAATTTGTCATAATAAAGACACTTGTTTTGGGGGGTTTTTTAACTAGAAGGATATATTTTTTTTAATAATCTTCTCTGGAGTTTGTTAGTTAAATGTACAGTATTTTTTTTTTTATGTAAGTTATATTTTATTAAATTAAAAGGTCCTAAGCTACATAGTATAACATCATTATATGGCCAGCTACTTTTAAACTACTACTACAGTGGTTTTCTCTTCAAATGTTAAATGTGGGTTGAACTCTGAAATTAGACACTACTCGACAGCGTTGTAAAGAAATGTTTGTTATATGTGCCATATTTACATGAAGTAGGGTATTATAACAGTACCCATTAAGTATTGTGTTGAAAAAACTAGTAGTACAGTACATTTTTTCTCTCGTGACACTAAAGTATAGAGCATTTTCATGAGTCATGTATGTCTTTTGATAGTATTTTTAACTCACCATATGAAATATTAATTTTACTATTTTTTATAATGGTTTTTCCAACAGTCATTGCTGCTTCTATCTTACCTAATCCTGAACGGTTCAGAGAGGGTTGTAACATCTGCCAGGGAACATCTCTATGATCTACGAAGCCTTGAAAACTACACATTCACAGATGAAATAGGCAAAGACCAAGGCCTAAATGGTGATTTTCATTTATCTAATTATTATTTTTATGTTGTACATCATTAAATATTTATTTCATGAATTTAAACAATATAGTATCCATCTCATATGACTTTCATTTATACGATCTGTACTTCATATTGTGAACCATCAATCATATATTATGAGAATGATAATGTGAATCATATGGAAAAATGTATTGGAATCTTAAAAAGACTCAATTAGTGAGTTGTGCACACCGGGCCTACGGTTTAAGAAGACTTGTTCTACCACCTGAACCATACAGTAGGTGAGCATGCCGCACAAACCAGCGCTGATATTATAGCTCCTGGTTACTATGCCCAGTCTTAACCCCCTGTCCACATTGACTGGGTATCCAGAAAAAAAACCAATCTTACTATTAGGCAAGACTTTTTTAATACCTTGTTTTGCAAACTTATATTTTTAAAGATTGTCAGAGAAGGGTGGAAAAAAAATTAAAAATAAAATTTTGTTTTTCTTATAACAAATAGTTTTGCCAAAAACATCCAGACGGAGGAGAAAATAAAGATAGAATTTTATTGGTGAATGTAAACAGTGTAGTAATAGGATGAAATAAAACACTTTTTTTCTGAAATTTCCATTTTTTCGTGGCAGCAGGTATGCTAATTGGCCAAAAATATAATTTTATGTTTATTCAAAGTCATCATTATTGGTGGGCAGCAGGTTCACTAAACAAGGTATAAAAAAAGTCGCGCCCTACCCTGCCATTCGATGAACATTATTAAATGGATATATTATGCATGAAGCAATGAGGCCTTAATCTAATATGAAGATAACATCAAACAATTTATCGTGTTGTAAATTCTGTTTTAATAATTGAGTATAGCATAACAATGTTAAATAATAAGCACTAGTATCAGTTAATATTAACCCTTTCCAGTCTACCCCATTACCATTGCCTGAGGCTGTACCAAACCTGAGAAATTAGATCATCTACACTAAATGTCAGGTTTTTACTGGGCGCAGGCATTTTATTTGGTCTGAATACAGGCCCTCTACAGAAATACTCCTACAACACTCCCAAACAATCCTATAGAGGGCAGCATAGCTATAAAAAAATTATCATGAAAGCTATACAGGTTGGTTCATCATATTATAGATAAAATGTGTAGTAGCATTAATTAAAACTCAATACACATAAAGAGAGAATCGGCACTTAAATCCTAGTTCCTAATTCTTGATTCTTAATAATTATATGGTTCTCAAATATTCGAATAGTTTCATCTGGTTGGCTTATGTATAGCCTGATGAAATCATGTTGATAACATAGACGAAAGCTCGCAGTAAGCTTACATCAAATTGTACTTGGTTTATTGTTGATTAAACATTTCTATAATTATTTGTTTCTTTTTTGCTACTTTTAACAGTTCGCCAAAAAGTGAAGGATTTAGTTGATTTCATCCAAGATGATGAACGTCTGCGGGCAGATCGAAAGAAAGCCAGAAAGGCCAAGGACAAATATGTAGGAGTCTCGTCATCAGTTACATCAAGAGGACACGGTTATAGTAAGTTTGCATTAATATGTAGTTAACTACATTTAGATGATGTATTAGACAGCAAAGAGGTACCTGAGAGATTACAGTAGGTAGCAGGGGAAGGTTCCATGCATCGAGTATAACCATGGTATTCTTAAAATGGATATAGTCGTAGCTCGAGCTAAAACTTCAAATTTACGTAATTTTGTATGTATTCTTATAACAAACTTTGACTAGCACTATGACTAAATCATGCACCCCTTGACTAAAAGGGTACTCTGCAGGCCGATTTTTAAAGTCAGCCTAGGGTGAGACTAACTCGCCGACTTTAAATATTTACCCCACTAAAGTCATGCTTTTTGTAACTCACAGTATAGAGTGAAAAAAAATTAAACTGATTGCATACGTAGGTCTGATGTATCTTCAATGTGTTGCAGGCATGTAGCTTCAATAATAATAATAATAATAATAATTCTTTATTTGTCCTCGTATATGTATGCCTACACACTGGGAAATTCGGGCTGGGTCCCCGGGGACCCGCGGCTGCCATAGCTCGGCGCCAACTACCGTAACAGCATTAAAGACGACACCAATCTCATGCGGGCTCAACTATAATTGTTCAAATTATTTATCATTATATGTTAACTACTAATATAGTAATGATTAATTTATAATTGGTCTAATGTGAATTATGAGGAAATATGTTTTTGAGCAACAGACGGCAGCTTAATATTCATCAGCATTACCGGATTTCTAAAATTTCGTCTGCTATTAAAATGAGCTCTTTTCATTGGTTAGTTTGATAGTCATTCTTGCCAGACGCCTTCAGGTGAACTACAACCAGGAGTTGGTTTAGTCATACTGACTACGTAGATTATGAATACTAATAGAGGTTGAAGTTGCAACTAGGACTAGTTGTAGTTCGAAGTTCGACTATAGTTTGTTTTAAGAACACAGGTGCATGTCAGTTTGCTACATTTTAGACATGGTAGAGGTAAGTTACCAGATGATGTTGTGTTGGTAATGCAAGCTAACAAGTAATTATTTACGATTGGTGGAGCTAGGAGTGGGCTAGTTACTGTTAGTAGGTGAGTTACTGCTGAGATACTCAGTGTTAAACAAGTCATTCACCAATATTTTGCTATTGCCATCTTATCAGTCAATAATTCAACCGATTGGTAAAGTATTATTAATACTGAATAGTAGTATCATTTGTATTAAGTCGGGCGCTCTAAGCCCGGTGGTCATCGGCCTATGTAATTCTATGAAGAACACAACACCACAATGGCGTTGCGTTGTTTAGCGCTCGCAGGGAACGGAGTTGGATTGTTTGTACGATGGTGGTACGATGCAGTGAGTGCCCAGCTTCATGTCATCAATATCAGCTTCATGTCATCAATATCATTTTCATTATTGTTGTTGATCAGTGTTCTGAAGGTGGACTTGCTGGCATTATGTACCGAAATAAACTCTCCCAACCAGATTTTAAAATATAAAATATGTAATTTATTTTACTAAATTTCAACTAAACATGATAATTTACTGTACTGTGCATATTGCCAGTTTTGCAACTACAGTATGTGAAGTCTATATTTAAAAAAAAACAATTAGAAATGTTCAAAATACTATACTAGACCTACATTGTGACAAAATAACATAATAAATGGGATTTGGAAATTTGTTTTAAGTGCAACATTGAACTTTGGTATTGTGCATTCATAAATGAACTTGAGATGTCCTTAATTTTATGCATAATTGCAATTAATGCGTCTACATCACATATCTCTCCCCCCCCCCATTTTTTATTTGTAGAACACTTTTGATGTTGTAGTAGAATTGTTATTAATAATGTTTTACTGTTATAACTGGTTTTAATGTCCTGCATGATACATGAACCATTGCTGTACTCAATTTAATAATTAATGACTTTTAGTATTGTGAGTCTATTCATCAATGACTAGTGTGATTCTAATCTAAAGGTCAGGTCAGTAGTGAAATTGACCTTTCACATCCAGATTATGCTAATGAGTCTCTTGTTATTGATCACAATTGATTTTATCACTTCGTCTGTATTATTGATTGATTGTGTGTCTGTTTGTAGATAATGAATTCAACGTTGTGCAACTGGTAGAAGCAATTCATATCCACAGGTGCTAACTCCCATATGGAATTTATGCCACATAAACCTTGCTCGTCAGTGTACAGATCACAGCTTATTTCTACCACGTAGAAAAATCTACCAGCTTTTTTACCCTTAGTTTATAGTTTACTGCAAGTTTTCAGCATGATTTTGCTATTAGATTAGGCAGTGAGTGAATTTAGACATGGATGAAATTGTCGGGTTTGCTAGAGCTGGCTGGAACTGGTGTAAAGAGACTTTTGGCTTTAGGGTGCCATGGCAAACCGTTTTGCAGTATGAAGCAATACCAAACTCACAGTTTGAAGCTACAAGCTTCTTGGATGGTAAATGTATAAATTCTTCACTCTGGTACACATTACCATTTTTACTTGCCATTTTGATGAATTCAGTGTTAACGTAATATTGGTTTATATTTTTTTTTTTGTATTTATACCAAGGTATGTTTTTTTTTATTGGTATCATGTCATTCATTGTATTTTTAGGTGATAGATATGATAGTGAACCTAAATCAAGTCGTTACGATAGTTCCTTTAAAGATTTTGACGCTCAAATAGAAAAACAACGAAAGAAAGAATCACGATTTAGATCATTCCATGATAGAAGTGACTCACCGGGAGACTCACCTGTAGAATATCCAAGGTATGCTTTGTTCATTAAATTATGTTTATAATTTGTATGATTGTTATTAATATTATTTTTGTCATCATTGTTGATGTGCTTGTCATCATCATCTTTGTTTTCGTTCTAATTGTTATCGTTGTGATCGTAGTTAATGTTAAACATATGTAATTAATATATGATCTTTAAGTTATAATTGTTAAATGTAATTAACATATCTTAAGTTATAATTATTTAATATATGATTTTTTGAAATTATAATTATATAATTATGAAAGTTGAGATACAGTAGCTGTTGTTATTGTCCTTATTTTCATTTTTGTTGTTAATGTTAAATTTAATTATTAGTATTATAAAAAATATATTTTATTGTTATTTATATATTGTATTTGAAAAAGCTTTAAATATTTTTTTGTTAAAACAGATTTAAATAATATGAAGGCTATTGTGGATAACAATATTTTTTACATTTTAAATACTGTGAAGCCTATTGTGGTTAACAATAAAACCAGATCGACTACTAACATGTCTATTAGTATATTATTATGTTGTTTTGTAGCAATGCAAACAAAATTTTTGAAACCCATTCACCAAATCATATATTTCTACCAACCTTTAATACTAAAACTTAAAATCAGTACACCCTTTATGTACTGAAGTATCTATTAGTATTTACATGAATTGCATACTCGCAGCATTTTGCATACTCGCAGCATTTTACTTTCTATTAGAAACTGCTAGTATAAAATATATTTTATTGTTATATATATTATATTTGTAGTAATGTGATATGCATTAATTGCAATATGCACTGTCTATACCAAATTCATTTTATGTTATACCGTATTTACTTGAATAAACGCCCAGTTTGAATAAACGCACCTTCTAGACCCTCATTTGGAATGAGCGTCTCCCTCGAATAAAATCTCCATTTTTTGCTTGAATAAATAACCCCCTAAATTACTACACAAATTTAATGGAAACAACATCATTTTCAACACATTCTATAATGTTCTACTCCAGCAGAATTACATATTTTCTAACCTGGTTAAGTCTTTATCATAACAATAACATATATTGGCGGTAATTGTGTGTTGTATTTCAACATTTACAGTGAAATTGAGCGGTGTTTATTTGAGTATATCTGTATCCATTTTACACACAAAAAGTATATGCACCTCCCATGAAAAAACGCTTCCATAAAAACCCTTCTCAACAATAAACACTCTGGGGCTTTTATTTGAATACATATTAAATATTTTTATTTGTGCATCTGTTTTCAGTGAGGGGGAGTATGATTATACAGAAGAGGAAGAGAGTTCCACAAAGAAAGAGTTCCATGAAGATGAAGAAGAATACACAAGTTCCAGCAAAACAAAACCAACAGTAGCTACTACTACAACAAAAACAAAGTCACGTAAACCAATTGATATGGGTGCTGCCGCGACCTACGGTGGGGGACATAAAAAACAAGTAGGTGCAAATGTTTACTCCTTCTTGATTTCTACACTTCTTAAACACTGCTTGATCTATTATGTAGTTTCAGTTAATCAGCATATTTTGTTCTTATTGAACTGCTATCTAATTGTTTGCTTTTGAATATTCAAGGTAATTGAACCTTTTTCATTGCTTGATGTGGTTTTAGTTTTTTTGTGATAATACTTTTCAAATGTGAATTGATATTTATTGATGTTTAATGTACTAAATGATTAGTGTTCATATTTTGTTCTTTCTCCCTTACAGGATAGTCAAACATTAAGTATAGGATCCGATTTAATGGAGTCAAAGCCCCAAGAAGCAGATTTCTTTGCAGATTTTACATCGGCATCGACAACAGCACCTGTAGGCACTAACAATGGTATTGATGACTTTAACCCCAGGGGCAGTGATCAACCAGCTAAGGCAACTACACAAGATTTTAATGGCGATTTCGGTGACTTCACTTCATTCCAGAATTCATCACCCGCTAAACCAGCGCTAGGGTAATTACATGTCTTATGTATTATTAGTTGGTTAATGATGGAATGATTGATTGAATTGATCAAATAATAGATTTATTAATTGAGTGATAGATTGGCTGGGTTGTTGGTTAGGATAGAATATAAGTTTTGTCATATGTATAAAGTTTTATTACAGTAAATGGGATTCCCACTCTAGATTGAAAAGACCTTTCCCCCCAAGTCCCGCCCCTTGGATATTGCTGCCAAGGTCCCGAAAAACGACAGTGTAAAAACATGCGCACACATTTGTATTTCTGGCCTTGTTCTGATTGGCCAGAAAAGGTCCATTATTATTGCATTGGTAAAGATTTTACTCATTTGCTTGCTCACACAGTGTCATGCAGCTTAGCTCAGTCGGCTAATCTGGTGGTAGCCACTGTGTGTGCGCTGAACTGTGGAGATCTCTAGGTCCCCGGTTCAATTCCTATCGCTGCCTCTCCTTGTGTTTCAGCTGGAGGGCTGAAATACAAGTTACAATAGCACACCGTCTTTGGGATGAGACGTTTAAGCCGTTGGTCCTGTGTGCATTTATGTCCCATGTACACGTTAAAGAATGCAGTACACTCTTCGGAAAAGAGTAGGGGTACTGCCAAATCACCACCAGAAGGACTCCACTGGAAATAAGTATTCTTCTAGACTTTTTTGGGCTATCCTTGGTGTTTACACCGAATAAATCCAATCCAATCCAATGCAATCATTGTAATCTTAAGGCAAATTGCAGTAATTTCACAATAAATAGTAGATAACATTGAATCATAATTAAAGTAAATTCTCTTCGTTATCCAAGCATTTATGAATATATTTTTGCCCTAAAGAGCAACTTACTGTCCATGATTTACAAATTGTATATTGCAAAGTAAATATATATATTTACATGTGTTTTTACTTAACCCAGATGTCTTTACTATTACCCTGAATACATAATGCATTTTAGCTCTGTTGAGGAGCTCTAGGAATACCGAGCTGATTGATTAATAGATCTCTTTTCATTCTTATTTTAAGCTTCGATGAGGGCGGGCTGAGTGCCGATTGATTAATATATGTCTATTTGTATGGGTGGTCATTAGGGCCACTAGAAACACTGAGCTGATTGATTGATAGATCTTTTTTCATTCTTCTTTTTTTTGTATGGGCGGCCGTTAGGGCCAATATACTCCACTGCCTCTATAAATACTGCCCTCATCAGAGATTTCAAGGTTACTAGAACTTGTTAACCATGACAGCAACATTCAGGATGATTGAACTCATTATTATGATGTTGCCTACCATAGCACTGGACAACTTTTTGTTATAATATTAACTCTTGAATTAAAATGTTTGATTTAATAGGGAAACAGATTTATATGGTGGCTTCCAGAGTACAGGATCTTTAGGTGCAACTTTACAATCAGAGATGAGCTTACTTTCACCACATCCTGCTAATAGCAATCAACAGTTGTTACAATCTCAAATGTCTACAAATCCTCTGCAATCAAATTTCATGCAGCCCATTCAACCACAGAATCCCCTCATGCAGGCAGCACCCCTTCAATCCCAACCATTGCAGCCACAGGTCAACCTAATGCAGACTCAAGTTGGCTCGATGCAACCCCAAGTTAGCCCGATGCAGCCTCAAGCTAACCCGCTGCAGCCTAGCCTTATGTCATCTCAACCAATTCTTCAGGTGAGTTGCATTAATATATCCCTGATATAAAAAAAAAACCCAATGTTTTGTTGTTGGTTGGCCTATCTTGTGAGCTCTTAAGAATGATGACTCACTCATTCACTGGACATTTTATATAATAATTATTACAAAATTCCAGTGATCGATCATTAATTTTCAAGGGGTTTATGCTACCACATGTTCATAGACAAAACATCAGCATTGGTTTATCTAATAGCATTTATCGTCTATTTTAGGGAATTTTTCCTTCTGTGTTTTAACAATTCTAAAAAAATATTTCCTCCCTGGTATCACTATTAAAGGCATTTTCCAAATATATATTTTTTATGGGATTGGTATCAAATTTGTCTCTTAACAGCATTTCTCTGTTCTCAAATACTAATACTACTTTACTATATGTGGCAAAAACAAGCCAAACCAGTCACTTATTGCAAAAATTGATTTTGAGTTATTAATACAGTGTTAGAGAGTAAAATAATAGCTATAAAATGGTAAACAAATCATTTAAATTGGACATTTCCTTATGAAGTTACAAGTGTTTAACCACACAGCTGTTTAAAGAACAATATATGAGAAGTTAACCGTCAAAGTTTATGATTTCAGGCATTTCTCATGCAGAAACTATCTTTAAATCCTTAAAAATTATTGTTTTAACATTGAAAATGGGAAAAATAACAGCATAGAATGATGTGTAGATATATAAAGGTTATTTTAGTGCAATAAAATAGATTTTTTAAAATTTGACATTCCAGCATGTTTTGGCCATTTTCTCTGAAACATGATTTGCGACGAGTGACTGGTTTGGCTTGTCTTTTCCGCATATTACCCTTCATCAAGAACATGTTCCAAATGAAGTTATGGATTTTTTTTAAATTTTTTTTTTTTTACTGATTAAATGGCAATACAAAAGGTCCACTGATTAATCTCGGATAAGATAGTGTAATAAATACTCCAAGTGTCGAAATGCATGCCATCGTGTCGGGATTCAATATTTCAACATTAATTATGTCATCATCAGGAATGAAAAATTATCCATATTTGCAAGCTTATATGCACAAGTACCAAAAGTGTTTAACCAATCAAAACATTACCTCTAGTAGGTGACATAACTATGAATAAACTAAAGGTCAAAGCACTCTTACCCTACTTGGCAATACCATTTGAAAAAAAGGAAAAAGCAATAATGGAAGTGAGCTAATAGGTGGCGGCCTTTCACGTTAATCAGAAAAACAAAAATAACTTTCACAAAGTATTTTGTTTAAAATACTTTATAGCTTTTATTATTCTATTCTTCTATTCTTATTTAAATTTTCTTGTTGCATTCATTATTGTAATTGCTTCTCTATCTCTGTTAACTATAAATTGTATAGTATTCCTTATCCGTGGCTCCATCTCATTGCTCCCAAATGGTATGTAGTTGTCTTTTTGTTCTTACTCCATTTTCCTCTGATCTTTGTTCATAATTTTAATGACCACTTTTTTCTGAATTCACATATTCTAGCTTACAGTATTTTCTTTGCTAAGACATGTTTAGACATACACATTTTACCTGCTACATCTTCCCTTTAGAAATATTATTGTGAAATTTACTTATTCATCCAAGAATTATATTCTCGCTTGAGTTTAGTTGGAATTTGGAGGTGGAGTTGACCTTTAGAACCCCAAGAGGTCGAATGTCATACCCTTTACCTTTAACATGCTGTGCATCTTTATATGTTCTGATGCTTTGTATTACTTGGTTTGAGATGTATCTATTTCTATACTGTATAGCCGGACACTGAAGCACCATCAATAGTGAATAGCATCTTGGATGGTGGTACCGTATTGACTACTATTACCGCTGTAGGTTGCCATTGCTTTGTTGTCGGTAGCATGTTTCCATGTTTATGCTATTCATTTTTTATTCAAATCTTCGATTGTTGTACCTTATTGACCACAGTAGTACATAAGCCTGGTTCTCATGAGAGCCCTAGTATCCGGATCTTGGAGCTAACCGTTAGCACCTGTGTGAGAACGCCCGATCCGTTATTGCTAACGATTAGCCTGCGCTATCGGTTAACAAGTTGAGCGCGTTTCTATCATCAACCAATCACACGTACGCATTTACAATTCCCAGTTTCTTATTGGCCAGTGATTCGATCATCATATTCTTGGTATCCGGATCGGGATTTTTTCGTATTGACGCATGGCAGCTAACGGTTAGCATGATCCGGATCCTGCTAACCGTTAGCTGCTGTGTGAGAACATAGTCAGAGTGTTTTGTTTGTTGTCAATATGGTGTTCAACTTTATATACCATCCATTTTTTATTGCCATCTTTGATGGTGGTACCATAAGGTACCAATATTTGTGTATGTTGTCGTTAGCATTTTTCTTTCAACATTATAGTATCCATTTGTTTTAATTAGCATTAGATGGTGTTACCATATTCACCATTCACCATTGTGGATTACCAATGTTTTGTATGGTGTGGGTAGTATGTTTGCACCCTCATACAATCCTTCTGTTAAATCTTAGTGGAACCGTATTGAGAGCTGTTAGTTTATCAGTTTTGTTTATTGGTGTCGGTACAATTTTGTTATAATGTTTTTCATTATTTGTTTTAAAGCCAGATTATTTTTATAGTTAAAGTTTGTTATTCATCAAAGGAACATAGTGGTTGAGGTGGTGGTGGTGGTATTAATGATGATGGTGTGAGTTATAGTAGTAATGTTGATGCATTTTTTAGCAAAAATATGGTGGTGGGGTTTTTTTAACCAACAAAAGGACCTAAAGTGCTTGTATTTTTTAACTTTGAAGTAATAATTGATATCCTATTATAATATAATTATTTTAATTCATACTATCTTCACAAATTTTTGTCAGTCATTTTTTTTTTTATTGATATCGATTTTTTTTCAATACACATTCATAATTTTTTTACTTGTAATTTCTTTACAATTGCTAAATGTTTTGTGTTTATTGTACAATAATTTTTTTTTTAATTAATGACATGTTACAAATGTGTAGGATTTTTTTTTTGTAGTATTTTAATTAATATAATTTTTTTTAAATAATTTAGTTGAATCTGTAATATATGATAACTATGTAAATTAAATTACAGTTGAACTTGCCTAGGGCAAATCCAAAATGGCATTGAAGAATTGTTCGACTTTAATAGTACAGTTCCACAAACAGATCGTTAATTAGTGGAAAACACAACAATTTGTCATGTAAAATAAGATTGACTTAGAAATTATTCAAGTTAGGCAAAGCTGACTGCAATTAAATTATTCTATTATATATTCCATAGCAATCTCCATTAATGTCAGCATCTCCTGTGCACATGATGTCATCACAACAAATGGTAGGTCATGTGATTATGTTGTTGCCCTTGTGCTACAAAATGTTGTTGACATGTTCTGTAAGTGTTGTCGCCTTGTGCTATAAATGCTGTTGTCAGTTCTCGTGCCTCACATGTTGACCTGGCCTTGTGCTACAAATAGTGTTTGTCTTGTCCAGCATTATTACATTGTTTAAGATTCCTTTTTCGTAAACAACTGTTTACACTTGGTGCTACACAAGTAGCTTTTGCTTCAAATGGTGTGGCTTATGCTACATCTGTTGATAAGTTATTCAGCAAGTGCGACTTCATGCCACAAATGTTGTTACCTTATTCTCCAACTGTTGCTATTTTGTGCTACAGCAGTTGCCACCCTACCACCTTTACACAAAACATAAATTTATTTCAGTAGATTGAATCAGATATTTTTATAAATGTTTAGGTCTACATTATATGTAGTAAAATAAGAGGCATTTGGTCTTTTGAATATATTATAATGTAGATAATTCATTAAATGTGAAATAGAGATCAACTATTTAACCATCAGCAAGTCTTATGCAGTCATATTTTTTTGTTTGTTATTACATTGCTACATTTTTATATATCTGATATTTTTTTCCTAGGGAAATAATTTAATGAAAAGTGATAGCACGGCTTCATCTCAGAATGTTAATATGATGGTATGTGATGCTGAAAATTTGTTTATAACTCAAATAAATGTTGTTGGTGTTGTGCAGTGTTTATTATTTTTAGAATTTTGTATTGTCAGCTGTACAGTATTTTATCTATTTATCAACAATTTAATTTAAATTTTCTTATTTATCCCTTTTTATTGTAGCCTTCCTCACCCCACATGCTGCCCTCTTCACACATGTTTCCTCCTTCCCAAATAGTACCTCCTTCCCACATGATTTACCCCTCCCAAATAAACTCCGATTCCTGTTACTCAATGGCATACCTGGTACGTCTTTGTAATTTCTTCACCGCATGTTTTTTTTTTTCCAGTTTTTTGAATTTCCATTTTTTTTTCTATTTCTACATTTGTTTACAATCTACAGCATGGAAATATCAATTATATGTAAATCAGCTTTAAAAAATGTTTTTTTAACATTTTTTTTTTATTTGAGAGCAAACAAATGTATTGCAGCTGTTTTTTACTCAATTTTTTCTATTCATTTGTTCATGACGTCAACCTATATTTTATTTAATTTTAATACATTCTTCATAGACAAAAATATGTTAAATTATATAATATTGTAAATTAATACAAAAGATATTGAATAATTTTAGTATGTTGAATCCGTTTTTTCTTAAATATTTAAACGAGATGCCATTATTATAACATCTTTCTCATAACCTACATTATTTATAATTGTTTTTTATCCACGCTTTTTTCTGTAGTTTTAGTTGTAACTTAATGTTTTTTATACATTTGCATCATTTGTTGTTATAATTCTCTTGTATTTCTATTTCATCAACTTCAAGTGCACTAATAAATGTAGCTGTGTTATGGTTTTACCCATGGCATTTTTGTTGTTTGAAGCACGCCTTCAGTCTATTTTTAGTGTAATGCATTATTATTGACTGTAAAAAGAGGTGTGTCGGGGAGAGTGCGCCTATATTCAATTATGTGATATCAGAGAGAGTGCCCCTAAAGCATAATTAGAGAGTCAGGGGAAGCGCTATTCACCGATATATAAGTAGTTTTGCCGAGTATACTGAGGGAAATATTCTCACTCATTGATTACTCAAGGAGAATAAGTGTTCATTAATGAATATCTGGGAAGTTTACCTTACCCAGTGAAGGGAAAATTGATTGTGGAGCATTGAAGTCTGGTCTTCAAGACAGATCAATAATTAAGAGCGCCCTCTCTTGCCTTACCTAAAGGTTAATGAATTGAATGCTTTGTTTCTTCATTATTAATCACATTTATTATTATAATTGTTTATGTTTTGTTTAAAACATTTACTGGTAGTCATTTTAATAACATCTCATAAGTGCACAGTTGTTCTTTTTTTTTTTTTTCATTGATTCTGCATGTTATATTCATTGTATTTATTCAAAATATATAACAACAGATGGTGGAAACAATCTGACATATTGAATTACAATACTCAACAAAAAACCATTTTACAAGAATATGTAAAACTAAAATTGAAGGTATAGTAAAGTAGATATGAAATAAACTAAAAAATAGCTCTACCAAATCGATAGGTAATTATATTTAAAATAGCTAAATGTTTTTAATTATGCCATCATAAGATAGCTATTTTAATACACAATCTATCTTTTCTGGACACCTTTCTAACCATAATATTTCACGCATGTGTTGTATTGTTCCCAATCCTTTAGACAATATAATGTCAATTATTATATATCTAGTATGTTGTTGAATTTGTAAACATTTTCAATGTAAATGTTAGTAATGGTGTTTATTGCAAACCTTGTGTTTTGTTTCCATCCCTTTGTAGACACAACCTTTCATGATTGGCGATATGAATTCTTATATGGTACGTTGTTGGGTTTCTCATAGATGGTGATGGGATATGAGGTGATGGGATAGGTGATGGAATGTGTGGTTAAATAGAGGAAGAACTGATGAAGGGTGGTGATAGTGATTCAAAGGATGATGATAATGATTATGAGGTGGTGGTGGTGATTATGAAGAAGGTTGTATGTTAATTATGATTATCATGGCTAATCATAATGATGACGACGACTATGATATTGATAATGATACTGATGCTTGCGAAGATAACTATTATAAGGAGTATAGTGATGTTAGTAAAGATGATGATGTTGGTATTTGTAATGATAGTGAAACCCTCCTAAACCCATTGTGTTTTCATTTTAATTGTTTGTTTTGTTTGTTTTTTTTTTTATATGAATTGAATATGTGAACATGCAAATGTGCAGAAAGGCAAAAGATAGAATGATTTGTTAATTTTTAAATGAACTTAAACTAAAGTGTACAGTAGTTCTAAAATAATACTAAATTTTAAAAATAAACAGATTTCTCATTATCATAAAGCTGAAAGTGACAAACACTTATAATTTAATTTCAGTACTAGTACAATTCACAATCACAATCACAAATCAATTTATTCAATCCAACAAAATAATATATCATAATGTTACAAAAAAGTATAAAAGAAATTGAAATTGTAGTATTTGGGAAACTCCCATTAAGACCAGAGGTCGCAAGCATGAGAGCCACCCAGAAAATCATTTTGACTGGTATAAGGTGAATACCCCTTAAATTGTAGTATCAAAACAATTTATTTCAATTATAAACTGATAATGATATATAGGCTCAGCTATTACTATAGATGTGCAATATATTTGTTCTAATTCCACGATATCTAGATGTATATCAAATTCAAGTTATTATTATTAATATTAACATTAAAAATTCCATATAGTAATTGCTTTGTATTATCACTCTACCAGCAGCAGCAACAAGGTTTAGGAAATATGATGGTAAGTTAATTATTCATATCGTATGGGTGTTATTGTCTATAATATTTGCGTTTTCCAACGCTAACAAATGAATTTCCGCTAATTATCTCTTTGAACATCTGGAAATGTGGCCTCCACAACCTGAGATTTTTTTCGATTCAGTTTAATAATAATATATAATTATTTTGTGTTTTTATTTATGACTTACTGAAATTTGTTTTAAATGATTTTCTAAAAACATGGCTTTGCTGAGAGAAAAATCTTGGAAGTATACCAGTGTAGCCAATTTAACAGAAATCAATGGGTCAAGATTTATTATTAATCTCTTTTTATTTAATCTTTCTAATATGATATTATTTTTATTTTTTTAATTCTTGTATTTCCAGGTTTCTGGTTTATTACACTTCAACATGATGATGATTTATGCTACCATGAGCTATATTTATACATGATTTATTCTAACTTCACTTTGTATCCACTTTAATATTATTTTATGTATGAGTGAAGTATTAAGAAGCTGGATTTGATCCCTCCCTCAATATGCATCTTTCTGTTTGTCTTGCTGGTATTTTATCCTTCATTCTCTTGTTCCTGTCTTGTTCAGTTAGCTGCATTCTTTGTTTCTTTCCCCTTGGTGTTATGTGTTAGTTTTTAGTACTATAATAATATATATTTTGTATCATTGGTGGTTTGGTATTATGTTAGAATGGTCAAATGTTTTATAATAGTAATTTTTCATATATTAAACAATTATTGTTTTGTTCAGTAAAGATATGAAGGAGTATCATATTCAGATGGGTCAATTATTATTATTATTATTTATATAATACTAACAATACACATTCCCAATTTTAAGTTGAGCTGCTGAAACTTCTTTATTTTTATTCATCCAAACATTAAATGCAAGTCCATGTCATGTAACAAAATACAGATTAAATACCATGTTCACTGCCATCCTCAAGGAACCACTCAAACTGAAAAAAAGGTTCGACAAACTTGACATAAATAACAATTTGTAATTTCACTTGCTTCCATTACTCATTCTTCTAACCTCGTAATACATAGGTTTTAATATTTGTCTTTTCATGAAAACTATGGATTCTTTTTTTAATAAAAATGGTAAGAACTATAAAAGGAAGTAATTTTTTTTTTTTTTTTTTTATTTGCAGCCAATGAATGCAGCATCGGTGAATAGCGGGTCTATGCAAATGACGCAACAGAAATCCTCTGTAGTGAAGCCTAATTCAGCTACAACTCCACAGGTAAAAAAACAATGAAAATGTGATGTGTGATGTATTTCTGATCTTCACATATATATTTGAAACATTAAAAGCTAGAAAGTGTTGCAGATGTGGAAAATATTTATCCATATAACCATTTGAGGCTTTGTTTTCAAATGGGGTTATAAACACAAATTGAATCACATCATTATGTTGAAGATGCTTGGCTGTCATAGACCATAAGAATGGTTAACATACAAACATATAACATCATAATATAACATATCATAACATACATATATATATATAATAAAACATATCTGGGTGCAGCCAGATATTCTTGTCATGGAATGGCAAGTACCAAGTAGTAGTAACATATACACAGCCATTGAAAGATTGTTATTTTTTAACAGGTACTCTCTTCCCAGAACACATTGTAGGCAGGGCCCTTCATTTCCTTGATCAGGTAAAGTCTTGCCTAGTGCAAGACAATCACTGTGATTACCCAGTCTAACTGTAATCTATAAGTGGTATGGCATGATTTGCGCAAAGCATGTATGATTTGCCCTCTTTCCAGTTGTCTAGCGTTAATTGCTCTTTGAACGAGACTGTGGCGTGGTCTTCCTGTATTTCTCTGAAGTCAAAATGCGAAATACCCTTCAAATACCAGTAACAATGAATTCCTCAATAAAAAGGATAAGTTTTTAAAAGTTATCAAATTCTAACGAGACAGCTCAAACATATAATTTATGTGTCTGTTAGTGTTTTTACTTTTGGTTACAACTTACTTTTTTGTCTCTGGTCACTGGGTGTTGCTGCTATTTCAGTGCACGTGTAGGTAACCCCACCAGGGTACCATACTCCTAGGTGGAGAGAAGCAATGCAGATAAAGTGCCTTGCTCAAAAACACAAGCGAAACACACAGCGAATCCTTTTTAAGGTGTTTGTTTTCAATCATATGATCTTATTTTTTATTGCAGAAAAACACCTGGAGCGATTCCAAGGTCAACATAAGTCTAGATTCATTAAGTCCGGCAGACAAATATAAAAAAGTTTCTCAGCCTTCAATGAACCAACTTGTAGGCAGCCAAACTCAAGTATTAGGTAAGTTCATCAAAAAGCTTGATGGAAAGAAATCAAATTCACCATAAAATGCCATACTTCTCATATTTCACAACAAATTACATGACAGAGATTTCCTGGATGATTGCATTTTAACCAAATTATTAGGTTGAATGCGGGTTTTCAATAATTTTTTCCTATAGTACTTAAGAGCATGTTAACATTCAAATAGACCTCTGTGTAATGTAATGTAATTAGATTTATGTAGTGCTTTATACTGAAATGGTCTCAAGCATTCAAGGCATAGACTAGCTGTTGCAGTAACTTGCTTCTCCCCTAAGGGTCTCTTCGTGTCTGAGCTACCCGGTAAACCGGTACCAGCTACTCTGGTCTCCACAACTGGGGCTCCAGTACACCGGGGTAAACCCTTACTCGTCTCAAAATAGCTGCTGTGTTCTTTAAAAGTGCACATAAGCCAAATTGTGTACTTTGGGCCTATGGTTTATAGTCCATAGCCGAGAAGTCTTGTTCTACCACCAGGACCATAGGAAAGCGTGCCGTTCGAACAGCTCCTTATGGTTGTATGTTGCGGCACCCTGCCTTAACGCTCAGCCAGAAGTTGCCAGATGTATAATGCATGCTGTAAATGAATTGTGTTGCATTGATAATCATCAGGTTTCATCACATCAGCACTTTTCATCATCACACATTGAATCTTTTATAACTCGATTAATAATACAAGGAGCACTTTCTCATGATGTGCATTATTTATGGTTAAAACAATTCATCCATCAAAGCATGTTTAAATTGACTTGCACATTCTTCAAATTTGCTTTCGGACCATTTAGCCATGTATGTATGTGTGTGTGTGATTCTTTATAATTAAATTAAGGCTAATTTGTTCTTGTTAACACTTTCATTATCTTGCATGTAATTTCTTTATTTTTAAAATATTTTTTTCTCTCAACAGGATCCCCTCAACAACAACAACAGCAGCAGCAACAACAACATATAACCAATAACATGGCACAAATGAACCTTGGAAACCAAATGCCACAGCAAGGCATGATAGGAATGCAGCAGCAAGGCATGATGGGAGCCATGCCAGGCATGGTGCCAATGGGAATGGGTATGCAGCAAGGCAACATGGGAATGCAGCAACGTAACATGGGTATGCAGCAAGGCAGCATGGGAATGATGCAAGGCAATATGGGAATGCAGCAAACTAACATGGGAATGGGAAATATGGGAATGAACATGGGAATGGGAATGGGTCAACGGCAACAAATGGGAAATTTTGGGACAATGGGAAACTGATTCCTGCTGTACTACTTAAATATGATTTATTTCAATACAAATATTAAAATTGAATTATGTAAAAAAAAATATGGAATATAAAAATGAAATGAGGGATATATATATATAGCTGATGTCATAAAGAAGCTGTGTAAAACATAATTAAGGATAGATGCTAGCAATATGAGTGACAAAAGTGTTATATTACAATGAATTGAAACTAGAAATCTAACCCATGGTTTTTGGGGGTTTTTTTTGTGCATATTTTAACGATGCTAAGTTGTTGATTATAACCCCCACACATGGTCTGTTGCATAATATTGCAAGTATATTAATTACCCATAATCTTTTGCTGAATTGTTTTTCTTTTGCTATGGTGGTATGCGTATAGCACCAACTTTCATTGGGCTTTCTTCCATGAGAAGCATTCTGTTAACCATTAGAAACACTGTTAACCATAAGAAGCATGCTGTTGACCAAATATTTAAATTTAGTCTGTGTTTATTCACTTGTATACATGTTCATTTACATTTGTGTTGCAGGTCACACACACCCTGTATTGCAAATGAAATTGTGACAGAACCTTAACTTTTGACTTTGGGAAAAAATAAAGCAATTTATTTATATTGTGGCAGCTTATCTCATTTGATGTCAACTCTGCAGAAAGACAAAGAAAAAGTTGATTAAACATTCTTGGTGGGATGAAAGTTAAATTTTAAAATAGTTTGTTTTAAGGCATCAGTACTTGGTGGGTGTGGGGGGGGGGGTGTTAGGGTTGGCCAAGCAGGGAAGTGGAATTGTAGGACCTTCATCCTCCAACCTTTTTGTAATCTTTCAATGTTCTGCATTTTGTGTACTGCAGGAAATACTGTAACCAAGGTACTGTACTGTATATGAATTGTCGTCTGACATTGTATAATTTTATTTTGAAAGTCAGAAGTTTGCCAGTCGTTGGTTGCTGGTACTGTGGCTAATAAAACTGGTTGACAGGCAATATTGCTGGCTTAGTAAAAAGGGAGTGGCTGAGAGACTGTCAAACAGTAGCAGTGCTTGCTGAAATGTTTAACAACAACAATGCTACATTTATTTATATATTTAGTCTTTCATTGTTTAGATACATGACGACACAACATCTTAAAACTTCTTAAAGCATGCAGGTGGTATAATATTATTATGTTAAAGTGATGTTTTAGGGTAAGTTCAGATTCAGAGATTAACTCTAGCATAACTAAAGATCAAATCAAAAGCAACGTGATTAATTTTTATGATAAAATAAAATTTATCTTTTTTTTGCTAGATTCTGTTTTCTGGGAAAATAAGTATCATCAGTGCATTACATTTCTAACTAACCGGCATACGTTGATCTTTGGTCAGGTATTCGTAATGCCAGTAAGCAGAAATGAATGCGTACATAAGCTAAACCACAAAAGATTTGACGGTGAATTTCTAAACATTAATGTTTTCATCAAATAGAATTTACTTACAGTATTATTTTATAGCTTGACTTATCAGTCTGAAACATATTTTAACAAGCAGCATAGAGTAATGTTAGTTAAAGGTTTGTACAGTACTTCATTCATATATTTAACTACTGCACAGAATAGGATAAAATTCGTTGGTTTATTGAATGATCTAAATCTAAAGAGAAGTAGACTATACTTATTATTTCCTTTAATGCTTTGAATTTCATGCCAGTAATGTATTCTTATACAGAAGCATTGTGAATAACCAATATTTTCTGAAAGTGGCATCATAGTGTGTACTTTTTGATTAGGTCATCAAAAGAAATGTAACCACAGCATTATATAATAATACAGATGATTGCATCCTGATTTGCAATCAGGTACTTTTTGTATCTAAACTATAGAAGACTTGCGAAATTAAGACAATTTTTCGGGGAAACACTCCTATGAAAAAAAAAGTAATTTCTATCAATTTCTTAGCAATGTTGTATAGTTTAAACAACACACATTAAACTATTTTTATACCAAATTTATGTATACTACACATATACTAGATACATTTTACATTTTTGTTTAAAGAACTGGTTAATATGTATTCAATTTTGTTTCATTTTTTGTTTGGTTGTTTTTCCTCATTGTTCATCTTTTTTAATAACACTAATCTGCAGAACGTATTGCTTATTTTAATAATATATGTTGATATATCTAATGTATTATGATTGTTTATTCATATTATTATTCATCATCACCACCACATTTGATTTCCAGATATGAATAGGCCTATTTTAAAATCACTTGTAAATTTTATTTGTGTAGTTTTGTCTTACGTGGCATAGTACTGTACGTCCACCGTCTACGAGGTTGACGAATGTCTTAATACATTTCTGTGAATGTATAGAAAAAATTAAAGGAAAATAATATGAACAGATAAATTTTAATCTTATTGAAAAATTGCTCTGTAATATTTTTATTTTTTATTGCTGTCTGTACTTTGTTTCTATATATTGTGTTTTTGTTTTTACATGTACCTCACAAATTATTAGTTTTTTTTAAACCAGAACTAGCCTCGATATTCAACCAATCGGCACTAACCATTCCATACCGGAAGTGACGTTTGTGTATGAACAAAATCATTTAACATGTACATCAGAATTTAAAACCTTGTAAATGTTCCACTACTACTGTAAAGAAATCATGTATTATTGCTATTATTTATATTACTATTATTACTTTTATTGTTATTCAGAAATTGAACATACAATTATTAAAGATGTTTTATGTAAATTTGTATTGTTTTCTTTTGTGAAGTCGTGAGCACACTAATTGTCCTGTCCACTCAACATTCCGCCAGCGTGATGACGTATTTTGTCAATTCCTATATGATGTCACAAGTTTCACTGGGATAAAAACTGAGGATGATGACATTCTTAACAGACGTTGATGATGAATGAATTAAATTTTGAAGCGGGAGATTTTGTTTTATTTACCATATATTCGTTTACCTGACTTGGTTTCCGTTGATGTTCAAACTGGGTTTTGCACGTGACTCTGCTATGCACTAGATCGTTTTACTTTCCCATTTATATCACTATGCAGATTCAATTGTACAGTACTACAGTATTCATATTTTCACTCTGATAAAAGCCTATTGTCTCACACTTTGTTTTACCGTATTTCATCAGTTCCTTTTGTTTCATGTTCCTTTTGTTTCATGCTCCGTGTCTTGCACTTTCTAAAGTGGATATGTGCGCCATATAAATCGTATTATTATTATTATTATTATTAATAATATTAATATTATTATCTTCACTTTGGCCTATTTTTTCACACAATATTTTCAGCTGATATTAAGCTCTTCGCAACAAAACCCAGTATTTTACCTTTACTTATTTCTTATCAGGTCAGTCGTATATTAAGTCAATCACCAGTTTCATCATTTTCAATTTAAGAATCAAATGTTTCCACTGGTATACTGTAGGCGTAGGTCACGCCATAGTGTGATATGATCATTGTGGTGTGGGGTCCCAAGTCGGGTGGAATCTCTTCTAGATAGATCCGGTTAAATGAGCTTTCCTAACATATTTAATTTAATTTTTTTTGTGTATGGTGATTACCCATCGGCAGTGTACGTGAGAGAATTGATATTGAAGTAGTAAAAATATGCAAATATTAATTTGCGAGATGGGTTATTTTCCGGATTCTTATTTGTTTGCGGGAGTGCTAGATGCCGCCCCGATTTTCTGGAGATTCCCACGACTTGGGACCCTTGCAATTGGTGGATAAATATAACTTCAAAACATTTTTATTATAATAAAAAAAAATTTAAAAAAAATATTTCTATAGCTCTTATTCAGAGGGGAAAAAACTGGCTTGTCACCGGCGCTGTAACAAGCTTTCGTGCACACAGTAGTACGGTATACACTCCTTACTTGATTTGATTATAGAGAAAATAGTTGATTTGCTATATGATTTGACACTGCAGTACCAGAACGTACGATGCAATAAACTACTGTTGCCGGTATGATTCTCTCCCAGTGTGCATTGTTCGTGATGATACGATAGTTTTGTTTTCTTGCTCGTAAACTTTGAAGATTAATTAATGGTAATGATCGTTATAAACACAATCTGCTGGTAATTGATCTTTGGACGCATGCAGCTGCTCAGCAGTCTTGCGCATGTACAGTGACGATTAGTTAAATATGACTTCGTTCATACGCGGTTCTGAATCGTGTGTTTTAAGGCTAGTTTCATACATCCCAATGATTAGGAGAGAACACACCAGGGAGGTATATACCTTCTGAACACACTCTTTACACCTTTTTTATTTTATTTTTTTATAAGAACCAGTAAAATTACTCCCAGGCTCATTGTTCTTATTTTTTAGCTGATTTCAGGCTCCAAATGTTCTTAATTTGTTCTTATTTTACACACTTTTCAAACATAGAAAACTATTATTGTACAGAAAAAATGGGCCCTGAAAAAAATGCCCTGGAAAAATTGCCCCAGAAAAAAAAAAGCCTGGTAAAAATGGCCCCAAATGACAGTACACCTGATAGGGGGTATTACATAGTTACACCTACATTACTGCACATAAGGTACCGGTACCGATATAGGCCTAATTTTTTTGGTTTTTCAAAATCCTCATTTGACATTTTACCTCAACCTCAATTTGTTCTTAATTTTTAAGCAATTTCAGCCTCAGTGTTCTTATAAAATGTGTTCTTATAAAAAAAAAAAAAAAAAGTGTACTCCTGCATACCGGTCTTACCAACACGAAGTTTCAGTGTGAGATAATTTCCAGGTCGCACGTACAACCTGCGTGACAGTTCGTGTGAATAACTTTTAGCCACCTATGCTTCCCTGTGTGTCATTCAATATTTTAAACGATTTTTAATACAGGCCCATATATACACTTGGATACCATTCTTTATAAATATCATGGCATGGAATAAGCCTACACATGGTACGATCAGATATGTGTTTTTGGCCAGGCTGAAAAAAAAATAATAACAATAATAAATAAACAAACAAACAAAAATTAATAATAATAATTAAAATAAATATTATTTTTTCCATAGAACAAATCATAAAATATTGTAAAAATTAAATGTGCTTATGACTGAAAGTTGTGATGTTTCGTTAAAAAGTAATGGAAAATTCAATGTTTATGTTTTTCTACAGGGAAGTAAACAATAATTCCTCTCCATGCACACATCGTCCTCGATTGACGCTTCGTACCGCTCGCGGCAAGAACCTAGATCCGCATCTGCTATACGTGGGAGAGAAGGTATACTCCGGGTTTATCCTGATACAAAATGTCATCTCTAAAAAAAGAAAAAAATTGGAAAAACACTAGTACACCAACGAGATTAAAACAAGCTTTTGATAGCATTCCATCTACGTCAGACCTAGGCCTACGTCACGCTGTGATGGTTGGCTGTGATTGTTAATATAACCGCAAAAAATCCCGGATTGAACAAAATCCTGGGTTGTAGTCCTGGTCTGTGGTCACGGTATTGAAATCTGTCAGTGTAGCATACCGGTACTTAATTTAATTTCCAATTACACACACACACCCATATTGGCCGTTAAGAATGCATCTTTCCCGAAAGAGGTCCTGGGTTTCCGATTGGGGTTTAGTGTGTTCCCCAACAACAGAAGTGCATGCTATTAAAGTCTGCCTATATGAAATGTTTAGTGTAAGTGGAATTGAATTGCAAAAGGTGTTATATTAGGGCCTACCAGCTATTGTCCTTGCTTTTTTTTTCAAAATGGTAAATTTATTCAAAATTCAAAATCCAAATTAAGACATAAAACATAGCAGCCAAAAGGCTGAATTGCGAATTATGTTAACAATTAAAACCATTAAAAAAATCAAAAAGCAAAGATAAAAAAATAAGTACATCGAAAAAGAGAAAAATATTGCATAAGGATCGATATTCTATCCAATTCGTCATTATTAAAATTATTGTTATTATTATTACTATTAATTTATTTAGTTATGAATACTAATATAAAAAAGATCAAAAAACATCATAACGAGTAGATCAAAAAAAGAGAAAAAAGGATTGCACAAAGATCGAAATTTGTCATTATTATTATAATTATACCAATATAAGCCATCTTTGATGGAGAGTTTGCATTTTGTTTAATGATATACAACCACCCCTCATGTTAATAGTAGCTCCTTCTGTGGTCCGAGGAAACCGAATTACACAAATGATACCAAAATGAAATGGAATCACCCAAATGAAATCCCAAAGGAATGTGAATACCAAAAATGAAAACCCAAATAAAAGTTAATTTCCCAAATGAAACGGAATTACCTAAATGAATTGCAATTCAACTGAATCGAAATTACATTGAATACCACTACAGTACTATGGGAAAAATAACTACTACTATAATACTACTTAGGCCCCTGCTATTGTTTTTATATTTTTTTAAATATTACTATTATCCTTATTATACCAGGCCCATTAATTATTTTTTATTTTCTAGAAGAATCTTAACAAACGTTTTTTTTAAATATTATTTGCATGAATAAGCAAAATAACATACTGTACACAAATATTACGGAATTATTCAGATACATTGAATTATGTTACAAGCTGCTGGCTAGGCTACATCCAAAGTGTTTTTTCGATACCCGTCCGTCTTATGTTCTACATTATTTGCCGAATACAATTGTGTAAATGTTTAATTAGCCCACGTTAGAAATTATTATACATAAAACAAAAGTTAGGTTTTTAGTCCGGAAATACTACGCAAAAAACGCTAGAAACAGATGGAAGAATAAATGAATTAGATAAAATAACACGTAACACGAGTACATTAAACGAAATCATTAGGAATTATATTAATATTTTATTAATTGTTTCAGAATAAAAAACAACAATAATAAAATTAATAATAATAATAATAATAATAATAATATTAATAATACTGTAAATAGTAATAATTAATTGTTAAAATAGCCAATGTCCGATCTATACAAGTGTTACAGTTGTAATGCATTTATTAGGCTTAGACAATGTAGTTTAAAGTTAAGACATAACTGCGTTGAATACACTTGACTCTACCAGGATGTCATAGAAACGTCAATAACCCAGGTCAACAATAATATGCGATAGTTGATAGCCGCATAGGGACAAAACGTAAAAGTAAAACAAGTCAAGATTACTTCTGTTGCAACAATTATAATCGATAAAAGTTGCAGATTAGGTGCCGTAACATAAACAGGGAAATACCCCTAAACCATCGGCTGCCGTCTGTGGACCTCTAGGGTCACTAGTATTATTATGCATGTAAGGCCTACTTATGCCTACTTTGGATTATCCAAAGCCCAAAACGATACGATAGCCTAAAAACTATCATTAACGAAAACGATTTACTTAGAACGGGTCCGATGATGATGATGATGATGATAATATTATTATTATTATTAATAATAATAATAATAATAATAATAATAATAATAATAATAATAATAATAATAATAATAATAATAATAATAACAATTAATAAAATATTATAATTCCTAATGATTTTCGTTTAATGTACTCGTGTTACGTGTTATTTTATCTAATTTATTTATTCTTCCATCTGTTTCTAGCGTTTTTTGCGTAGTATTTCCGGACTAAAAACAACCTAACTTTTGTTTTATGTATAATAATTTCTAACGTGGGCTAATTAAACATTTACACAATTGTATTCGGCAAATAATGTGGAACATAAGACGGACGGGTATCGAAAAAAAACTTTGGATGTAGCCTAGCCAGCAGCTTGTGCATCTGAATAATTCCGTAATATTTGTGTACAGTATGTTATTTTGCTTATTCATACAAATACATATATATTTAAAAAAAACGTTTGTTAAGATTCTTCTATAAAAAATAATTAATGGGCCTGGTATAATAAGGATAATAGTAATATTAAAAAAATATAAAAACAATAGTAGGGGTCTATAGTAGTATTATAGTAGTAGTTATTTTTACCATAGTACTGTTGTGGTATTCAATGTAATTTCGATTCAGTTGAATTGCAATTCATTTAGGTAATTCCGTTTCATTTGGGAAATTAACTTTTATTTGGGTTTTCATTTGGGTATTCACATTCCTTTGGGATTTCATTTGGGTGATTCCATTTCATTTTGGTATCATTTGTGTAATTCGGTTTCCTCGACACCACAGAAGGAGCTACTATTAACATGAGGGATGGTTGTATATTATTAAACAAAATGCAAACTCTCCATCAAAGCAAGGAAAATAGCTGGTAGGCCCTAATATAACACCTTTTGCAATTCAATTCCACTAAACATTTCATATAGGCAGACTGTAATAGC